AAGGCAATCCATCTACGTCCTGAGGACCTCGCTGCCACCGTCCAAGCTCGCTTGGCCCCAGCAGATGAACCTCAGGATTAAAGGGTGGGCTCAGTTCCGCGCACACTGTGTCTCACCTAAAAAATCCAATGCGCAGGCTGGAAGGTGGAAAGACCTTCCCCGGTTCTTCGTTCGCGAAGACTGGCCATTTATATTTTTCAGATGAAAGGTTTTATATGAGATTAAAATTCAGATCTAAATTATTTAATTTTGAGATGCACCATGTGAAGAAAGATTCTAAAGTTTTGAGTTAATTGCCCATTCTCAATATTCTACATTATAAGTAACTTCAGAAAATTACATTTTCTTCTCTTTTTTTCGTTTTGTTGTAAAATCAAGCAGGCGTCATAAAGAATTTATTGCATGGAAACATTATCACAGTTGACAACTTACTCAGCCACAGGTGCACTTACAAAACTGGTTTCCCTTAGTGTCGTTCCTTGCGATATCCTGGAGAAAGAAAATAATCTGCACTGCAAAGGCTTTTACAGGAACCATTAAGCCTAATGAAGTGGTAGATACCGTCATACTAGTAATTTTAAATTCATTGCTTTTTATGTGCATGCCAGAGTGTTTTGGTGTGCTTACTACTAATCTTCTGTCTCTTAGTTTTTAAGGTTCTGGAGATGTGGCTTAGCTGTAATGTACAACTGGAATATATTTGATCTACTGAATCACTTTTCCAAATACCTCTGCAGTGATAAAGCACACAAAGGGAATTTTACAAGTACAATTTCAGAGGGACTATAAACATCTACTAAAGGTTTTTTCTAAAACTTATTGCTCATGATGCAGTAATTATTAAACCCATACATGGAATTCTCATTCCATACTTACTGATTTAACGGCTGTGATGTGTGTGCAAGCCAAAGAGTAGAATTCCTCTAGAAAGGGCATGTATGTCAGAAGGAACTCGGGAGGCAGTTCAGGACATTATGCTAAAATTGTTCCCTCAACTCGACACCACAGACTGAAGCAACAGAAGCAGCAGTCTTCAATGTTGTGTGTGCGTCTGCCTGTTATTGTTTTGAGAACTCAAGGCTGTCTTGGTATTTTTCTATCGTTATAGCGGTTGATGTCAGCACTCTAAGAAAGTACCTTAAGTGTGTCAAGGGATTCTTGATCTTAGGGCACAAGCACAGCTGTAGAAGTGAGAAGCTGGACTTATATGACGTGATTTACATTGCTCTTTCTATTTTAATAGTGAAGCTTATCCAAAAGAAGTCCTGCTTGGATTATTGAAAGGAGGTTGCACTTCATCTAGGTCATGTGTCAAGTGTTTGTGATTACTGAGACCTGTTACAGATGTTAAAATGTACTTTGCCTAACTTGTAAATAATTGCCCTTCTACATTTCTGAGGAAAGAGGTGTGTCTGCTTTATATCTTCAAATATTCTGCTCATTATTGTTCTGAGAATTAGTCTAGTTTGAGTCTGAAGAGAAACTGGAGTTCAGAATTTGCAGTTTATTTCAGTTGTAGCGTGGACTGATCTTTGGCAATTACCTTTTCTAAGATCAGTTGAAAAAAAACACTTACTTGGAATAAACTAGATGGAAAATAATGAGACATATTTTATGTCCCTTATGACCTTTCATGAAAAAGAAAATAATCATGAGATTTTTGTTGCTGAAGCATTCTGTTACAGAATAGCAGTAAATCCTAGTGAAATGTATGGTATTAATAGTTCTATGATCATCAATTACACTTAATTGCTCTAATATACTGTTGGAAAGAGAATTAAGTGTTCATAGGTATAACTTGTTTAATCCTACTGAAGATAAAATTAGTGAACAAAATTCATTAACTTCATAGCATGAAAAAAGTTCTATGTCACATTTAATGAATTCTTGCTTATTCTGTGGTTTTGTTGCTCATACAGTAAACAGCAGATTGCTGTGATATGGGGTTTCATCCCTGAAAATAAACTACTTAGTGGAAGATTTTCCATGGCGTTATTGATTGTGGTCAGAGCATTATTTGTGTTTGTAGTAGAGAACCAAAAAGAAAATGAGTTTTAAAGGGACTTGTGCGAGTCATTTTTGTCTTCCCTGCTCAAAGCAAAGTGAACTTCAATGTAGCATTGGTTTGTGCCTTGTCTGGTTCAGTTGGATTTTCACATACCATAAAATTTATTGTGATATTGATGTAACTTACATGTATTTATGAGACAATGATTTAAAAGAAATACAAAAGTGGGCAGTAAAACGATCGCTTTTAGCATTTAGTGATTTCAGTTGGGTAATCCTAGTGGTAAGAGTTGGTAATAACTGTAATATCTATAATAGATTTAGAGAAAAGCAAGAAGAAAATTATGCAAGATGTAAAATGAATGTCAACCATTTTAATTTTCAAAAATTTTCTTTTATAATACTGTCTAAATTCTGTGCAAGATCTTTTCACAAAGAGTGAAAGAGTGAAGCTAGAGGACAGAGATGTGATTGATTTTGGTTTGTTTTTTTTTTCCTTTCCTCTGTCCAGCAAGGATTAAACAAAAACCTTTTGTTATAACTGAAGGCTGCCTTTACGAGTTTTTGAGAAATATTGAAAAACCTGACGAATTACTGTATTTAATTCAGGAATCTAGAAGAACTACTCCTGGGTGCTTTTGATTCTTGTTTTTCTGTATAATTATGAATATTCATGTGTTCTGCTACCTGTTACAAATTCTTCAAAGCAAAAAGTATAAATGCTTGTGGACCTTTATCCAATCCTTGATTTTCAAGGAAATTATCCTAAATTAATATGTTTGCCTGTGTGAAATTAGCTGCTGTACAGTTCATTAAAAGACTGGAAACAAGGCCTTGTATGTAGCATGACTGGCCATAAACCACGTGAGCACCGGGAGATTGACAGAGAGAATATTACATGGATTTTTCATTGAACAATAGCATTTATATCACAGTGTCTGCCCAACCATTCCTTTATGAGTAGCAGTTTAAAAATACAAGGACTATGATCTTAATGTAGAGAACAGGTCAAAGACACTGTTTTAGGAGTGGCCTCAGTCTGCAGAAGTTTAGAACAGAGGAGGTCACAGAATCATACATAGAGTGTGCTGTGGCTCAGATAGCTGGGTTTATTTCTTTGCATAGTCTGAGAAACGGTAAATCCACTTGAAGTTTTTTTTTCTGGTTGGCTTATTCTTTCTGTTTATATTTTGTTTAATCTTCCGTGCAAATCACTTATGAAAATGCATTTGCCAGAATTATTACTTTCAGAAGACAAACATATTTAGGAGGCTAATATTTGTTTTATGATTTTTCTTTCATAAGGAAAAATTTTTTTGAGTGCCCTGCAAGAGTAGATATAGTATGGAATTGTGTTTGGGTCTTGTTTGCATATCAAACAGCCTTTTAATCTCATTTTGAGTCATTAGGATAATATCTCAGTTAACCTGCAAAAGCAGTCTCAGTGACTTCAAAGAGAAAAAGTTGAATACAGCTTTGCAACCTTTGAAGAAATAAATATTTGTCCCTAATATAAGCCCAAATTCCAAACAATATTTTGTTATGTTTTTAATTGTGATGAGGAGTTACTCAGTTGACAGTACCAGAGCTTTTACATTCTGGCTGCATGTATTATTATCCTAGTTCTGTATTCTTGAGTTCTAGCCTTGTGGGCATACATACTGGCTAGACAGTTCTTCTTGGTAGTGTTCATACCACAGTCTCTGGCTTGCAGTTGAATCTTTCTCAGTGTTTGATAATGTTCATAATTTAACAGCATGTCTAGATACACCCATAGCTCTGTCTGAAAGAAACTAAGCCAGGCCAGCATCCTTCTCAGTATTCATATTCTACACATTTTTTAAAATTTAAATGGAGGACAGATGTTGAAGATTTAATATTTTTGTTGTTCCTGTTATGCTTATATATATAACATATGTAATGTACATATTATGTATAAACATTCATATATAACATATGTATATGTACATATTATGTATAAACATTCATATAATAGGTAACAGTTCTTATTCTGAGAAACATACTCTGGAAAGGTTCAAAGCAGAAACCAGATTGTTGAGGGGGAGAAAATGTATATCATGCTCTTCTATTTACAGAGAGTCTGGCCTAAGACTGGGAGTATGAAACACTGTTAGTGATATTTATGATTAGTGGTAGTTACAGAAGGACACTTTGCTCACTTGACAATGAGTACTGGATGATCTGAAGAAGACACGGTCAGAACATGGCTGGCCAGACTGCTTTGCTCTTTTGTATTTCAGTTTAGTTGAATTGCCAGTGTCCAATACCAGTCATAACCATTCCTGCTACTGGATGCCTTTCCTTTCTTCTTTTAAATATGTGGTAGTCCAGATAATACCATGGAGGTCTGTTCTGCACACATCTGAGAAGGCTGATCGAAGTCTTGTGTCTGACCTCCCATTCCTTGCTTGGCTCATTAGTAGGGTGCTCACAATATTTACGTGATATTCATCTAGACTGCAAGATCTGGATTCAGGGCAAGGCTTGACAAAGGGAAGAGCACTTATCTTGTTGACAAACATTTCTTAGTGCTGACAGACGGAGGGCAATAGGGTTCTTTATGTTTCTGGCCTCTTTTGCAATTAAACATGAAAAATTGCTCTTTTCTCTGATGAAAGTGAAGCTAAACCAGGAGCTTTTCTGGAAAAAGTTGTGAAGCCTGGTAATGAAGAACTGAAAAGGTCAGTCAGGATTAACTCTCGCTCTGGTCCTTGTAGCACATTACCATCTAAATAACCCTGCTGTGGCAGGTATTTGGTATGCAGGTGACGTTTTTGTCCTTGCGGATTTTGAATGACCACATGAAATCCTGTCCCTGCATTGGTGAGGTCAACTCATGAATGAAAAGCTTCTGGAACTGCACCTGAGGCATCTGGTAGCAACACAGTTTAACAACTGAACAGGCTACATAGCCTTAGTGCTGTCTCCCTGGTGGCCTCAGATTGCTTCTGAATTCCCTGCTGATGCTAGAAATAAATTATTATTTTTCGTATTTATTTATTCCACATAAAGTGTTCTGCAAGTTAGGGCTGACCAGTACATTACTGCAGGTCATTGAGGAGCTATTAAAAGTTCTACTCTTTGCCATCCTGTCTTCATTATAGCAGTGTATCTACCTGGCCATGAAGTCTGACATTAAAAAAGAGTCTGTCTCTCAGGAATATAATCTAAGCCAAGAATGTTAGACATGCCCTAGTCTGTTAGACTTGTCCTTTTTATGTCCAAGTAAACTCAAATTATAGATAGTAGTTACGATATAGTAAACAACTGCTTTCATTTGCCTGTTTATTTAGTTTTCTCCAGGTCCTTCTCTGCACACGTATAGGGTCTGGGCTTTGTGCTGCCTGTTCCTGTGACTCCTAGACAGAGGGGAGGAGAATTCCTGATATGTGTGCAAAGTGATAGTTTAGGGCTCAGTGGCGTATTCTGAGAGGGAATGCTGGGATCAGGAGTAAGGGAAAGAAGTGTCTTTGAGTTGGGAGCCTTTCTGTGGAGATAGAAAGATGCAACCAGCTGAGCTAGGAGCGAGGGACTGAATAGTCTTCCCAAGTTCTGAAAACTAGCTGCAGGTTGCAGAAGAGATAGAAAGACTGCTCTAAGCTGCACAGCAATGCTGGGATACTACAGGCAATCCTAATTCTTCTGTGTTTGCAGCCTCTTGAATGATGGAATGTAAGGATGGCTGTGTGCTTTGTAATATTCCAGTGTGTTATTTTATGGGAATTTTTATTTTTCATGTCAAATCACTAAATGGTTCAGGCTTTTAAAAACATGTATAGCTTTTCTCCTTGACGGGGAAGTAGAGTTATCAGTTGTCTGTATAGCCTGGCTAAACCAGAGCTTTCTTGTGGTCAGTCACAGGCTGTGAAGCAAACTGTGTGACACTGTGCCGTCACTGACTGCAGGGATAACTACTGCTGTAGGCTCACAAATTGCATATAAAATATTACCTCCTTTTTCTAAAAATGGAAGTAAAATCTATTTCCTCCATGGGGAGAGGGGGACCACATGCAGGGGCAGTTTATCATATATTACAGTGCTTTTTTGGAAAGTGATGCAGTGCTGTGGGAATAGTTATATAATTGAAATTATTTCATGCATAAGCATAGATTAGTATAGGAAAAAGGAAAGACGATGCTGTATTGTTTTGCGTAGTTCATGGAAAAATTCCAGTATTTCTCCTCAGAGTTGCAGTAAGAATTTGCTGTGACATAAAGTAAAAATATCTTGCTTCTGAAACTTTTAAGTTCACGGTTCTTGTCTGCAAAGGTAAATGTCTTAGAGAATCTTGTTATAGAGGGTAAGCAGTGCTCACTTAAGCATTGAACTTTTTTGTTTGAAACATGAGTATATGTTACTCTCATCTTTTTTTATTTTTGTTGAATGGGATTCTTTCTCACATAAAAACCACCAGAAGCTTTCCTAGTTTGCATGCACATATAATACTTATATGTGCATTATTCATTTCCATTCAAAAGTTTAGAGCAAAGTAGCTTTCCTGGAGTTTGCATAATATGGCAATAACTAAATAATATGGCAATAGCTAAAACAAAAGTTTCGTTATGGGTAGGAAAACAGTATACATTTCAAAGCTTTTGGAACTATCTGCAATGCCTTTCACCTTAAGTTTCAGATGGCAACAATGTGATGGGAACTGAAGAGAACTGTTTTGACCGCAACTATGTGAAAAAGAAGTTAGAACATGGGCTTTCACGAATATGGCAGGTATGTTTTTTGACCATTTTCCCTCCTAAGTATTTGTTCCCTCTCTTCTCCCACCCCCCGCCCTCCCGTTACTAATTACAGTTATATTTATACTAATTTTCTTAAAGAAATATCTCCAGGGATTTTTTTAAAAGTGGTTTGGTCTGATTTGAATAAATCAATACCATGGAAAAATAATTTCTGTGACTCAGTTACTACTTGGTTGCTACACTTACAAACTCAGTCAAGATACCAAAATATAATAACAGGACTTTAAGTCTGATTCGATTTCTCACAACCTGTGTGCTGCCCCACTATCTATTTTCTTTTCATGCACTTTTCTGTGTTAGCACAGTCATACTGCCTTATATTTCTGGTATAACCAGAGCTATGGAAAACTTGGAGTCTTGTGAACCTGCCTGATTTCACAGTATTCCTGATCTGATGCTGGATCAGTTTAATGTGCAGTGACACCCAAACGCATAAACGAAAAAGCTATAATCCTGAGCTCTGCCTTTGCACTGGTAATAAAGCATCTATGATTGACCTTGTGTTATAGACTGTTAAAGAAACTGATTATAAAATTACTTTAGAGACATCATCCCTGTTAAAGAAAATGGAGTTCTACTCTAAATCTCAAAAAAAGAATTTATAAGTGCAAGCAACCAAAAAGTACTAATGAACCAGGCATCTGAGCTTTCACTTTTTGCCTTTAGTGTATTAGGTATACAAAAACTTGTTTGTGTTTTGTAGGATGTTCAATTGAAAGTGAAAACATATCTTCTGGGAACGGATCTGTCTAACTTCAAATATGACGACTTCATATTTGTACTTGATGTTATCAGCAGGTATACTGATGTGGTCGTAAGACCATTTAATACATGTCCACTCTGATAAGATAGCACAGTTGATTAAGGCTGATACTTACTGATGATTTTGACTTCAATCATATGTACTGAGCTTGAAGAGCAATTCTTCTTTATGTGGGAGTTTATGAGGATGTATTTGTGAGAGGCAGCATGAATTACTTTGCTGCTCAAATAGGGCTTAAGTGTGATATGATTTCAATATTGTCTGCCTTTAAAATTTGAGATGTGCAGGTCTAGCAATTTTTGCCAACCTTTACAGTATTATGTCTTTCAGTTTTGGTAAAAAATGAGAGATAGAGACTGTGAGCTGACAACTTGCCCTGCATAGTGGAATCTCAAAAAACCATTTATTTTGCTTATGGCTCTTTGTCTCTATGTGTATGGGATATAATGATGGGATTTAAAGGGAAATGAGACATCGACTTTTGTAGAATGCAGCCTTAGCATTGCAACGTAACACTGGTGCTCTGCTTTTATGGAGATACATGTTGTACACTCATGGTTGGAACAGCAGTATTAATAAATCAATAAATATTTCTAAACTTTATTTTATTACTATAGGCTGATGCAAGTTGGAGAAGAATTTTGTGGCAGTAAGTCTGAAGTTTTGCAAGAATCTATCAGAAAACAAAGTGTTAACTATTTCAAAACGTACCACAGGTGAGACTGCTGTATGTGCAGTGAATGTTTCTACTGGCATTTATTTTTGCTGGGTAAATGCTTTTCCAAAAGCCTTTTCTTCTGCTGTGGTTGTGGAAAGCCCTAGTTCTGTAGCTGGCAAGCCAGATAAAGATGAACAATTTTTTAATGTAGAATTTCAGTAGTTTTGCAGGTTACCTCTTACGTTGCCCCCTGGCATCCTGAGGATGAATGCTTCTGAAGTCCAATCTCTATAGCAAAATTGTTACTTCTTTTTCTATGCCATGGCTTAAAAAGAGTGATCCTGTATGACTGTGAAATTTTTCTCAATATGCAATTTTATCTTGCATCAAATAAGATATTTAGAACTGAGTCCATCCATTTGGTCCTATTTTCATGGTGTTTTCATTGGTAGTATCTAATTACATTTCAGTCAACTCTATTGTTGTATCTGAGGCCAGTTATATGTGCTGTCATGGACAGACAGTCTCTGGACTCAAATATGATATATGGCTATGACAGCTTCAAGACTTGTTTTTCTGATTATTTGTTTTAATTGCCTTGATTTTCCAAATATTTTGATTTGGATGATTGGCAACTTTCTTCTTCCAGTTATCTAGCATTAACTTCTTTCTAGGTGTAAAAAGCTAGAAAGATATGAGAAGAAATAGAGTGTTCTATGTTCTAAGAAACTCTGACTTTCCTAGTCTTGTTCTGTTGTCATCTGTCACACAGCTAATACATCCAGACACATTTGGTCTGGAACTTTCTACCTAAAATCCATAATGTATGAAAGTTATGGCAGAAGAACATGAGACAGTGTCTAAATTCAGAAGATGAGAATGTGGTTTGAAATTTCTTCCGTCTTTGGTAGTTTGTAGCTAGTATTTGTTTTTGGACATTTGATGAAGAGCTCAGTTGCAGTAGTGTCTGAAAAGCTTGAGCTTTAATCAGATCCACATTATGTCTGATCAGGAGATGCCACCTATCTTTATTTCTTGAAAGCATTTCTGAATCCTGAACTGAATTTCATTAACTGATTTTGGTCTACCTAACCATCTTTTACTACACTGCCTTACCACATAATGCCTTATTTGGTTAAGGAAAGATCATTTAGACTGCTATGGTTTTGCTTATGTTTAACTGCTTAGGGACTAATTTTCTGAATTATCTTTGGGTAAAATAAAGGTTAAGAAACACTGATGGAATACATATAGAAATAATTTTTTTTAAATAACTTGTGTTTTTTTATTAATGTTATGTAAATCTTATGAAAATAAAAGGAAATATTTATTGATATGGCTCAAATTGTGTGAACCTTTTAATACTTTTTATGTATTTTATGCTCTGGGTATTGTGAAGATTAATTGGCTGATGTTTTCATCCTCAGAAGGAAAAATATTAAAAACCCTGCCTCACAGCTAAATGCCTCAGGTTATTTTATAGAAAAACTTTAAGCATCTTGCTTTTTCAGATCAAGCTTTTGCTCCTCTTGTGTATTTAATTGAAGGGAAAGGAAAAAAGCAATAGCGCTTTTAAGGATTAATTAGTACATAAAAGCTACATAGAGCTGAAATGCTTAGTGTCCAAGAGTAATCAATTCTTTTTGTGTGTAATTTGACATATGTGGCCTCCTGGGCAGTGTTTGGTTATAGAGAACTGTCAATACAAAGAAATCATTCAAAGGCATTGGCCATGTAATTCAAAAAATGTGGAAGAGAACATGCTACTAGAGCATACAGAAAGCCTTTTTTGGGGTGAAAGCTGATTATTTTGAGAAATTTGAATGGACTCTTGGTGAAGAGCATCAGTAAGGTGCTTTTTGGAATGCAATTTACTTTTTGTACTGATACACTTGTAAAAAGGTGTCTCTGATGACTAAAGCTTTTCAGAGAATGAATGCATCAGGTCTTCTATGTGTGCCCCTTTCTAGACATATGCTGGTGAAAATGAAGAGCATTTGTTCATATACTTTGTCAGAGCCTTGATTTCAGCTTTGAAATGCTACAAAACCTGTTGTTGTGTGGCTTTTAAATCTTTACTTTTCTATGACTCTTTCACCTTAGTCTCCCTCACAAAGAATTTTAATCTAACTCTGGTTTTCACAGCATCTCTGTCTGTTGTTTCTTTTGGCTTAACTGTGAGGTCTGCAAGCTTGTGGGTATTAAATGCACGGAAAACCGCACTTGAAGTCTATTTGCATTTAACTGGTGTATTTAAACAGACACAGCAAACTGTAGTCATAATTCAACACATATCTTTATCTCATTGAGGCAGGCAGATTTTAATGGTAGTGGTGGTTGTAGTTCATTATTGAAGTAGTGATATTTCTAGAATATTTTATTGCCTAATTGGAAACCCAGTGCATAAGTTACCAACTGATTCTTGTTAAACAAAACAATATACCGGATACTAAGAAGAAAAGATAGAGCTGTGTGACCTCAATAGGCATTCCTTGCTGTTTTTATCTCTATGTTCCACTTATGTGGCAGAATTTTTTCTTTATTAAAGGAGGCTTTTCTAGTGATTAAAAATGTAACAGAAACAATGAAGGGATGTAATGGCTTAATTATTTTCCTTATTGCATTTTCTATATTGGTACCAAAGTAAAGTTAAGCTATGAAGAAAAATACAGATTAATAGCCATTTAATATTTCTTCTCTGAAAAGTTGAGATGCCTGTGGAACATGAGTTCTTTCTACTTGCCTTTGCCATATATTGGCTTTAGTGTGTTTGAAAGGAGCATCTATCTTGTCCGATCTTTCAGAAGCTGTTGAGCTGCTAATAGAGTGTTGCTTTCTACAGTGTACATAGAGGAAAAAAAATCCAATGTTTCTGCATGATCATAGATGTCCCTCTATAGTTTTTAATGGTTTTGACAAAAAAGATTTGTTTCCAAAGTTTGGAGATACAGACATTCTTGGAGACTTTCTCCAGAGGTGTCATGAAAACACACTGTGTTAGTAGCCACAGCTTTTGGGTGGTCTGTCAGTTGAAAGAATTACTTAAATATCTGTTTTCAAGTGTGACTTTTTTTACAGTTTTAGAAGGTATTTTTTACTGCATAAGTTAAGTAATTGTCTACTTTCTGACTTACACTTCCTGCCAATTAAGAGTGTTCATTTGTTGTTTTTTTCAGAACCCGTCTTGAAGAACTAAGAATGTTTTTGGAGAATGAGACCTGGGAACTTTGTCCTGTTAAATCAAGCTTTAGTATTCTGCAGCTTCATGTACGTTCTATGTATAAAACATATAAATGTATTAATAGTTTAGCAAGTAAGGGTCCAAGTGTTCTAAGAAATAGTAAGATCCATGAACTACTGTTCAAATGTTTTTAATGGCTACTAAAAACTCTTAAATTTTACTTCATGATATTGGAAACCCAAGAACCAAATGGTTTTAAAATGGTAGTGTTTCTGTTTCAGGCAGGTAGAGGTTTATGGAAGATGCTAGACTTGTAAGCATAATGTTAGCCTTTATTTAATGTTTTAATGTACTGTTAATATGTCTGTTTTCAATTTCTAAATTGTTTGTCTGACAGTAAGATGCTAAAAGATGAGTGCCTAAAAGTAGTGGCATGAGTGCTTAGTAGCTTGTACCAATCTGGGATCTGTTTCTGGAAACATAGGTCATACTGGCTCATTTGGAAAGGAAAAAAAATATTCTTCTGTGCTGAAGTCCAACTGAAAGCAAGTAATTGGTGTACTCACTTTCTGTCCTAAAGTGATTTTTGTTAAGTTTAGCATGTGGTGAATGACATTCACTTGTTTTGGCAAGTAAAACATGATGCCTGTGATTGAAGCTATAACCAAAATGCAAAAATGATTTAGTGGAGCAATCTTAAGAAAAAGATAATTTTGCAGCCTCTGTAGAGTTAATTGTAGAAGCAAGCAATAGGCTACTGGGGCAGTAACAGTACAGAGGGAAAAGGAAGGAGGAGCCTCAGTAGCATCCAGTAGCCAAAGAAATAATATTTTTAATAGAGAAATGGGATTATAAATCCATATATACTACTTAAGGGACTGGAGCAGCAGAAAATGGCAGAAAAAATGGATTCATTTAAGCAAACAGAAATCTAATATTGTAGCCCTTTAAGCTGCACGTGTTTTGATCTTTAAACCTTCAATTGAATGAAGATGTACATTTTGCCATTGTTGATAATCAGTAGCTAGAGTTTAATAGATAAAAATGGTATATCAACTAAGTCAAGATTTTTAGAAAAAAATGTCAAAAATCGTGCCTTATGTTTTCCACTTGGTCCGTGTATTTGCACAAGTTGGTGCTGTGTCTATTTAAATTCTGGTCACCCAGTGATCAGAAAGTTTATGTGCAGTGGGTTTGAGAAGTAAAAAATTTTGAAAAGAAGTTTTTAAAAATAAAGTGTCAACAAGAAGATTTCAGCTTTGGTAAAGTACTTGGTAACTTATGTAACAAAAACTACATTTTTGGATAGAATTTAAGTCTTGTTTTATCTCCTCATTTTCTGTGAAATAAAAAACCATAGCTTTCACCTAGTTTTAGACTGTAAATACTTTCAGAATGGAGATGTATTGCATGTCATAGGGAAAAACTGCTACTTTCAAGGTTAACTTGAGCCAGCATGAAAAGCATGTGTAAATAAGCAACAAACTTTGGCTAAGAGTTAATTGTCCAAAAGTTTGTTTTTATTCTCTATTTTTTTAGAACTGCCGTCATAATAATACTGAAACTGCCTGATTAAAGTTGTACATTATTTCTGTTAATAGGAATTTAAGTTCATGGAGCAGTCACGTTCCCCATCTGTGTCACCTAGTAAGCAGCCTGCTTCAGCAATTTCAGCAACACTGACGTTATTTGAGCAGTACTGTAATGGAGGAAACCCATTTGAAATTCAGGCTGACAGCAAAGATGATGAGACAGAGGACGTGCTAGCTTCCAATGGGGTATGGAGCGTTTCAGGCTAAAAAAAGAAAAAAAAGAAAAGCAAATTGTGCTTTCAGTAAATGCTGATTCATTTTGTGTAACAATGATGGCGAAATATTTTAATACAAGAATCATTTATCTGCTTTGCTTTTAGCAGTGCCAGAAAGCCAGGCATCCTGTTTAAAGTTCAGTTTGTTTTGCACTGGATCTGATTTTTTTTCCACCAAAGTCAAGTGTTCAAGGCCAGCAAGATATGTTCCATCTAAATTATTATTTTTCCAGGGGCTTAAATTAGTGTTCTTTGTGGAGGTCATTTTATCATTTTAGGACATGCTTTCTGGAGTCACTGTGGGTTGCTCCTTCTGCTGTATTTGTTCACACCTACTTGATTTACCATGAATAGTGACCCTGAGACTAGTTCAGTTGGTTAGTGCATGGTGCTAGTAATGCCAAGGTCAACATTTCGATGCCAGTCTGGGGTGTTCTCGTAAGAGTTCGACTTGATGATCCTTGTGAATCTTTTCCAACTCAGAATATTCTGTGATTCTGTGAATTATCTGATATTTGTTAGTTAATTTTAATTGCACTTTAAATGCTCAGGACACTCTCTTTAGGGTGGGTTCTACTGTAAAACTGAACAATAACTCTGAGGGCTTTTTTCAGGAGTCTGTCAAAATCTAACAGTGGTCAAATATGATTTATTGTAAGACTTTGTACCATTCCCTTAAATGCTATGTTAACATGTTTTTGTTAAAACCTTTGCTCTTGTTTATCCCTTTCATAAGTAGTATTTCCATGAACTTTTTTTTTTATAAGGTTGGGTTTAGTTTTTTCATTTAAGGTTAGTTAATCCAGCCATCACAATAATGACGTTCTGGTTTTCAGCTTCATCTTTCTTACTTTCCCTTCATCAGTTGCAAAGCAGAGTGGTCTGTATCTCACTGACCTATGGGGGATGCTGCAGCATCTTTTCTTCCAGAGTCAGTGCTGCAGTCTCTTTGCTACCATGTCCCTTGAAGAAGAAATACAGTTAATTGGCGTAAAATATTGTTGCATTGTGTTTAAAGGGAGCTGCTGGAGGTAGTTCTTTCCCCGTCAAGTAATACAGCAGAACATGTCCTGCCATTTCATGAAGGCAGTAAATTGATAAGTGTTGTGTGGTTGTCATCACTAGACTTATGCAGAGACCAAATGAGTAATTAAGCAAAGATGAATAAAACTGCAGGGTATGCTGGAAACTTCAGAATTCCATGGTACTTTGTATAAACCCACTCTGAAACAAAGCTTTTGGGGAATCTGGGCAGCCATTTGGTAGATATTTGCTAAAATGATCCTTAGTTAAATAAGGATTAATGATGATACCAAGAGTACTTTTGAGGTTTTTGCAATCAAGGTTCCCTCTACATAAGAGTTCATTTCAGACTTTTGTATATGTTTGTGAGTAGTTTTTCTTTAAAAAAAGATTTTTCTGAAGAAAAAAGACTAGGAAATAAACTTTTTTTGTTTTTCTCTTCACATGAGAGAGCTTTTTCTGAAGGTTTGACTTTGTAACAAATGTGTAACCTACACTGTGAGTGCAGAAATACATATCAAATATTGCAGGATATTTTTTTGCCATCGCTTGCATGTAGAATAATTAGGAAGCTGTGAAATTATTTTCCATATATGATATTAACTGGAGCTATTGCGAGTGGATAACATCTCAAGAACAAAAGAGAATAATTACTGGAACGTGATTTCAAATTTCCTTGATACTTTGCAGGTTACTCCTAGCAAATGAGCACCTACACTCTTCCAAGTTTTTTGTGTAGTGGCTTTGTAAGCAGAATACTTACACTTGTAGAAGGCTAGAATTGTCTTCTTTTATGACTATGGATGTGTTGAGGTATTCTTATTTTTATCTCCACGCTTGTATGAGATATGATGAAAACCTTGCAAGTATGGCAGAGCTGCTTCATTCTTTCCAGTTTTAACATTTTGCCTTTGAGAATCTGTTTCTCCCAGCTTAAAGTAAAATTTAAGACATTGTCTTCCTCTGCAGTAAGTTTTTGCTTCTTAAAAGCATTAAATCATTTGAAGAAAAAATTAGGTAGCAAATGCTGATGAGCATGTTGGAGATACTTTCTTTTTGACTTTTGCCATCATGCAATGTCAGACTGCTGCCAAGCAGACTTTTATCAGTAATCACAGAATCACTGAATTGTTAGGGTTGGAAGGAGACTCTGGAGATCTTGTCCAATCCCCCTGCCAAGGCAAGGTCACCTAGAGTCACAGAAATATGTCCAAGTGGGTTTTGAATGTCTCCAGAGAGGGAGACTCCTGGACAGCCTGTTCCAGTGCTCTGCCACCCTCAAAGTCAAGAAGTTCTTCCTCGTATTGACGTGAAACTTCTTGCATTTCTGTTTATGTCCATTGCTCTCTGTCCTCTTGCTGGGCACCACTGAAAAGAGTGGAACTATTCTCTTGGCACCCACCTTTGAGATATTTATCTGCATTAATGAGTTCCCCTCTCAATCTTCTCTTCTTTAAACTAAACAGTCCCAGCTCCCACAGTTTCTCCTCGTAAGAGATGCTCCTGATCATCTCTGTGACTCTCCAGTAGCTCCTTGTACTACCCTCCTCTGACTTCAGTTGTATATTATCTTTTCCCTCTTTTCTCCGAAAATGAACCTTTTTGGAGAAGTAATAGAACCTAAAAGCTCTTACAGAATCGCACTTCTGGTAGCAGTTAGCACTGACGCTGCGGGCTCATGGGAGGTAATGGTCCTGCAGGTTTTACTGGCAATCTTTGTAACGTGCATGAGTTACAAAACGTAAATGTATGGGGTGGTTTTCCTCTGTTTGTTCCAGAAGTCTCTTGAGAAAAATACAAGAAAGCACCCCCACCCCAAACCCATGTTCTTTGTTGTAACTGAGTAGTGTTATCCAGAAAGTTATCTGTTATCTTTGTTGCCTTATTACCACAGGAAGAGAGAATGAATTTGACCATCTAATCATCCGAGTAAAAATTATTTTTTTTTATATTCTGAATTTGTCTCTAACCATTGGAAAAAATATCTACATGTAAAAGTTATTGTTTTCGTAGTGGTTGTTCACTGGTGTCTGTTTTTTGAAGGTGTGTGAGGCTCAGTCTCAGTCAGAGCTGGAGATACTTAGGACGGTAGGCGTTAGTTTGCTAGTAAAGGATTGCCTCGTGCTCTGCATGTAGGTGCTGGTATTGCTGCAAGCACTGTGGTGGAGATGGGTCCTGTCAGGATGCCATATGCCTGCTCTGCTTGGGCTGAGAGTGGCTGCCTCAGCAGTTCTGCAGTGGTGGGGTTGTGGTTTTCCTTATCCTTTACACAGAAAGAGAAATAACTTGTTTAGGTAATATGGGATAAAATTTACACGGAGGCTTTATGTTTGCCAGTTAAGATGGAGGCACGTTTTAGAACTGAAAAATAAAATTATTTCAGATGGAGATTGCAAAATTTTGTTTCCAGAGAATGCTGACATGTTTCCAAATATTTCAAGAAAAGCATGACAAAGATATAACCAATTAATTTACTTGTCAGTTGATCTGTAGGATGGTGAGAACTGCCAGGATTTCTTTTGAGAATTTTAAAGTCTTCGTAACTGCTTAGTTTTTTTCACTTCTGGATAACTGAAAATGGGCCTCTGGACCCGGTCATCTCAGCTCTGTATCTTGAGCTTCAGTGAGATGCTTTATGTCCCTTTTCTGTAGCTTCTTAAAATGTAAATGTTGCGATACAGTTAACTTACAGTATTGTAACATTCTTCAACTTTGATGAATCTTACCACTGCCTATGGGTTTGTCTAGGCTGATTGCCTAAACACTTGTGACCTGATTATTGCTACAAGACACTTGAATTCATTTCAGCACTTTAAAATTTTACTGCAGACTGTGCATATTTGAAATAGATTTATAAGATCTCTTTGGGTTGAGTTCACTACTTAATAGTTGTGAGTTACTGCATACTTGAAAATACAGATGCGTTTAACTCATTAAATAACTTTTCCAGATCATTAGTAGCATTAAAATGAGGAGACTTAATATTTTTCCACATTAAATTTTTTTTCTTAAAATCCTTTTATTCTATGATGTTGAGTTAATTAATGTCAGCTGTCAGATTCATGTATCTGTCTGAATTATAGTTAACAGTTTGTACTCAATTTATCATTTTACTGTCATTGGATTTTAATTGAATCAGCATGTAATTTATTATATATTAATGCATAATAAGTGGTGGTAATTCTCTGTGCTAATGTTCCACCCAAGGTAGTTAAACTGTGGCTCTTTTTGTCCTTTAGACAAGACTGAACCCAGCTCATTTTTAAATGACTGAGCTGCTTTCATTACAACTTTCCTTTATCTAAAATGTCATGAGGCAGAAATTTTGCCAGTGAATACTAATTGTATCGACATTTCTTTTTAGACTGTGTCTCATACTACATTCTTTTTTTCCACCTGAGCTGTTTTTGCTTTGACTTTTTTTGTAATGTGGGATTCTCACTTTTATAATATGGTGCTTTCATAGTACTAGGCTTTAAAAGTCTCAGCAACTTGGGGCTGGGGCTGGGAATTGCCAGGCATGACTGAAAAAATATACTTCCTGGTGTTTTGCATGATGGTGAGACTGTGTTTTCCCCTCTGAAGAGGTCTTATCCTTTAAAAACTTGCCATTTCTTAAGGATCCTTGAACCAGACTGTCTGTCATACCTGTCACTATTGACTGCTTGGATAAAGTGGCTTCAAAGCAATGTACACGTTAAGGAAAACTAAAAGGAAAAGTGGTGAGGTCTCTCTTCAAGTGCATTCTGAAGCCTGATGGATGTGATTAGCATTGTGATAGCAGGAAAAAGGGTTGTATCACAAAGCATCATATATTTGTTTTTCTTTAATGTCTTCTGGCTGAAGAAATTCACTTTGTGAAAAATTTTTTTCATTATTTCTGAAGTGTCTACATGAAGCATGTATGCTAGAGAACAACCTAGAAAACCTGACAAAGAGATTGACATTAAATACTGCTTTTAATTGGAGTGAAAAAAAGATTGCAAATTAGAGGTGTAAAAATCTTAATTGTACACTTTTAATGTGTATCTGTATTTGTCACTAGTATTTGGCCACAAAATTAATACTCTAGCAATAGTATTAGATGTCTCCTAGCACAGAAATGTGAAACTGTATTTTATATGTGGTAGCCTATGTAACTTATTGTTTTCCAGACATCACCTTTTAAGCTGCTACCTCTCATCCTTGAGTTGAAAATAATTCTCTTGTGATCTCTGAAATGCAATTCAGCAATTGAACAGAGTGAAAGAGTTAAAAAAAAAAAATGCAGCTGAGAGTTTGGAGGCAGTAGTTGTCTGTATCTACTTCAGTTTCTTACTTTTCAAAAGATAGAATTACCATCAAATGTATGCATGAAATGTATAGGAAGGCATGTCTTGAAGCAGGTATACATGATTAATTTGTCTATGCTTTCACGTATTTTGTAGGGTTGTTCTGGAATAATTCATGACAAATGAAGCAAATGGTGCATGAGACTTTTTTCCATCAAAGAGGATTTGTTTAATGAATAATTACATCAATATTTTAAATATCAGGATTCTGTGTCTTTAAGGGATGGTGTATGTTTTAAAACAAAACCAAGAACACAAATGAATGGAAGCATGCTCCAAACACCTGATCGAGGTTTCTGAGAAAGCAAGGGTGGTTGGGAAAGGAAAATACTTTTAATCTAGGCCCCAGTGATTTATTCCATTATGCAGTTGAATTATATCATTAGAGTACTTCTTACGATCATATGGTGTGCTGTGGGTTTGGCATTGTTGTAGTTTTTGTTCTCTATGAGGAAAGATACGTCAGTTTGGGTTGTGGAATCCTGTTGCTTGCATGCTCTGCAGTTTTTTGTTGTTCCATGACAGTACCAAGTTTGTATGCATAGGGCATACAGATGTATGCCAAGTTATCCACCCTCCTGTTGAGATAGATAGTATGGCATACAGTGCAGAAAAATGAGTGAGAAAAAAATTACATGGTCATAGAGCCATGAGAAATAGTTGTAGTAGCATTTCACAGAATCACAGAATATGCTGAGTTGGAAGGGACCCACAAGGATCATCAAGTCCAACTCCTGGTCCTGCACAGGACCATCCCCAAGAGTCACACCATGTCCCTGAGAGCATCATCCAGATGCTTCTTGAACTCTGTCAGGCTTGGTGCTGTGAGCACTTCCCTGAGGAGCCTGTTCCAGTGCCCAACCACCCTCTGGGTGAAGAACCTCTTTTTAATATCCAAACTAAACCTCTCCTGACACAACTTCAGGCTGTTCCCTTAGGTCCTCTGCTGGTTGCCAGAGAAAAGAGATCAGTGTCTGCTCCCACACTTCCCCTTGAAAGTTGTAACGTCCCTCCGTCTCTTCTTCAGGCTGAACAGACCAAGTGACCTTACACGTATTGTTTTCGTGAAGTGTTTGTGCGTAGTCAAAATTGAATTGTCTCTATCAGGTTAAGTGGTTGAAAGACTCTCTAATAGAAATGTCTTTTGGAGTGTTCTAAAAGCAATTTTGCAAGCAACTGCAAGTTGGTTTTTTTTGTATTTGTATTTTTAAAAAAATAAATATGTACAATATAAATAAGTATTTTTGTGAAGGAATAGTTTAGTCCTTCTTGCAATAATAATTAAGGATTGTGTAGTGCCAGGTTTTTTATATTACCATTGTATGCATGAATTTTGAAGTTTTATTATTATTTTTTCAGATTAGAAAGCAAATAATAAAATCTAAGATATGCAGGTACTTAATACAGCAACTAGAATGCAAAAAAAAAATTATCAGTAGCTGGGAGAAATAGGATGATGCAAATATTTTCTCAATCAAGATATGAAAATAGAAATGCACTTAAAAATGGCTTTGTATGATTTGCCTGTTGCATTTTTAATGAACATTGTCATCAGCCTTTCAACCAGCAAGGTTATTTGTATTATGATCAAGGTAAAAGACAAGAAATTACCAAAGTGCCACGTTACATGAGTGATATTATTATAAGAAAAATATTAGTCTACTTATTTGTTTGTTTGTTTGTTTTGGACAGTATGAATCAGATGAACAAGAAAAAAGTGCATATCAAGAATATGATAGTGACAGTGATGTTCCTGAAGAGTTGAAAAGAGATTATGTGGATGAGCAGACAGGAGATGCCCCGATAAAAAGGTAGGTAGGCTCTGTGAGTCCTTAGTCTAATTTACATGCTTTTCATCTCAGTAGTTCACTTTCTATGATCTACAACAGTGGAATAATAATCAAATAATCTTCATGCTGCCTGCACGGTTAGAAAGGCTCAGCACTTAGATCTCCAGAATGGGGAGGAACATAAAACTGATCATCATTATTGCAGAGAGAAGCTGCAAAAAGCAACGTTTTGAAAGAGGACAAAGGCTCTCTGAAGCAGGTAGTGGAAAACTGATTAGCAAGGACTAGGTGTTAACTGAAGATTCTTCTATAGCAGCCACTGTGCATATTTATAATTTCTGTTGTGTCAAAATCAATTGTTTGCAGACAAATGGCTTGAGTTTTGGGCTTCTGCTTTTGCAGAACAGTAAACTTCTACAGAGTAAGAAAAAAAAAATAGATTCTTCCATAATTTAAAGACAGTCCTTTGGAATTTTAAATTCTCTTTTTCTTTGAGAATTTATGTAAACACACATATATGAATGAATATACATATTCTATTTTGATGAATATAATAAAAATTAACATATTCATATAAACAAAAGCCAACTCTATAGCCTTTAAAAGGATCTGAAATACAAATTTCTGTCTAGTACACTCTACAACTTAGATGTCCATTCAGACTTTGTGAAACAGGCTAACATTATTTTTATGTAGGGATTGCAGGAGAACTAAAATGCCATCACTTAGGTCAAAGCAGAGTAATGAGTTTTTTACAAAATAAGTCTTCAGGATAAAATATTGTTAAATGATTCCGTAAGATCCATCATGTAAACGACTTAATTTCAAAGAATTGATGGAGGTATATTTAAAAATTTATTAATTGGAACAAACAGTAGTTACTGTCCATATATTTGTGCTGTGAAATTGAAGTATTCTGAGTTTTTGGAATAATATTGTTTTGAGCTATGGCAGCTGGCAGAAGGTTCTCCTATAGGAAAATAGAATATCTGGAGTTGCAAAGGATCCATAAGTGTCATCAAGTCTGACTCCCTCCCGCTTGCAGGACTAGACTTCATGAAAAATTTAATGACTTTTTTTAACTTCATCTTCCTCAAAATTACTTCCATTTCCAGATAATATTTTTCATCTGTAGCTGACTAATTTGCCCCTGTTTTGTTGTGACTTATGTTGTTTTCATTTTCTTTACTTCATGAACTGTGATCTTGAGTCAGAGTGATTAAAATGATTGGTGGGGCAAGGCAGAGGCCTGAATAACTCAAGCCTTGGACTACCAGTCCAAGAAATTCCTTCCTCTAGCACAGTCAGGCTTCTCTCTTAAATGTTAGAATCCTAACCCAGTTATGCTTTGGCATAAATAAAATGCTTCACTGTCATGTGAAAGAAGGGGGGAGGAATAATTTGTTTTCTATGTTTTCGAATATTGTCACATTTGGTGTATTTTGTTTTCTTTAAAGTGTTTCTCGAGAAACTCTGAGGAGCAGAAAGAGATCAGATTACAACCTCAACAAAGTGAACGCACCTATTCTAACAAACACTACCCTGAATGTAATACGGCTTGTTGGTATGTAGAACAATTGTAGTTTGTTATAAGTGTTTTTGATTTTTGTGCAAACTTACCGAGTATAGCAAATATGTTAAATGAAATTTAAGGCCTTAAAAATATACCTTATCGGGCTCTTTCTTTCCTCTTTGAAAATGTTAATAAAACAGGAATAAATCACTAAACAAGTATTTTTTACTTAAATGGACACATTTGCTTATATTTTATGGGTTACTTCACTTTGAAAGTTAATCTGCATGCATGTATTGATTTTTAACTTATAATAGTGGATTATTTGTCTAACATATTGAATATGTAAAAAGAGTGAAGATAGCAAGCAAAAAAATGAATATTTGTGTTGCTGATGTCTTATTAAATGCTTTGTCTTAAAGCAGAATTGTTGCAAAAATAAGAACTTACAGACTGGGTTTTTTTCCCCTTTTATTACACAAATTCTCACATCCAGAATAACTGTTTTACTACATGGTAAACAAGTAGAAGAAAAACACTCTCCCATACTATAATTTCAGTAATTGAAGTGCATCCCATTAATCCCTAGGGAGTTTAGGGAATCTCTGTCCTTGGACGTGATCAAGACCTGACTGGACAGGCAGCCTTATTTCCTTACACCTGCTCTGAGCAGGAGGTTGCACTAGGCTACTTCAGTCCTTTTCTAGCCAAACACATCTTCTATGAAAACACTTGCCTCCAATCTAGGTCTAATGGAACTGATTTTTTGTGATCATACCTTTCATTTGGTTAGCTAGATCACTGTGCAGTAGCTCCTGACTTTCATTTTATTCACAGAAGTAACTACCTACATTTATCAGGTTAGGCAGAGGAGAGAGGAATTCTGTATGTGTTACATTAATGAAGTTTGTCTTCAGTATTTATGTGCTTGAAAATGATCATTGTATTTCAGAGTAATCTCTTTAAAAAATGCTATTCCAACACCTGATTACTACCTTTTGCTGTCTTTGGGGCCAGCATGTAAATCAGGAATTAATTTTCTAAATGTTTTTTGCAGGTTTGCTGAAACCCTCTTTTTCCTTGAGCATTTACAATATAGACCTAAAATGAAATTTGAGATTATTCTGTTATAAGTTTTCTGGTTGGTTTGTGAGTTATATCAGAGAGATTTGTTTGCTACTTTCTAATCTAAGAAAATTTAGGACTGAATCTGAAAACCAGTTACAGCACTTTCATGCAAACCCCAGCCTCTGCCCCTGCCCTAAAAGTGTGACTAGGTGGAGCTGTAGTTCTGGTTTTCCAGTTTTACATAAGGAGTCTTTCTTTTTGTGGATTCTGTTCATAACCCAAAATGTAACTTAATTTTCAAAGCTCATATATGTGCTTTTTTTCTCCTTCTGGAATGATGATTAATTTTCAATTTTTTCTGCTATTTGGGGTGTTTCATATTGTTTTTGTAATAACTGATAATACCACTATTAGAAACATGGAATTGGAAAAGGACCTCCTGCAGCCCCTGCTACAGGAAGTTGTGTAATTTACTACTACCTGTAAATGTGCATGTTTTGAGCTCAAGCTTAAAAAAATACTTCTGTTCCCACCACTCTCTCTAATAGGAATAGTATTCCAGAAACCTTAACAACTTAATGGTTAAAAAAAATAAAAAATAAAAAAATATCCACTTATTTTCTGCCCACCTGATCTTATACCAAAAGAAACTTTTATGTTTAACAGGTTGTCTTGTTCTTCAGGGCATACTGTGCTGCTGGTTTTACAGAAAGCAGTCCTATTTCTTCTCACTGTCTGATTTGCTAAACAGAATGTACCAAGCTTTTTTGTATCCTCTGTATTTATCTGCCAGAAACTTAAATCTCCTACTTTCTTACCAGTTCTTTTTCTTCTTTTGTTAGAGTCTTACCAAAATAATGTGCAATATTTTGAACGACATCTCACTGCATTGTGTAGCATCCTGGTCAAAAGTCCCTCCCTTATGCACGTCTTTGTATTTCTCACATCTTGCTTGTACTGGCAGTTCAGTCCATCTGTAATGACCTTGTACAGCTGGCAGGTGTACAAGGTGTACTTTCCTTTTTCCAAAGTACGAGCTCCTAGTTTGTAGTACATCAGGGGCATCAGGCACTTTGCTTGAACTAGTGGTTAATGACTACAGAAACAAGAAACGAAGAAGATACCCCTGTTTAGATAGACTATTGAATGTATTCATTTTGTCTCCCTCCTTGTCTACCCTCTTTTCTTGTGAATCATCCCTATTAAATGTGAAGATGAGCATGTGTTGCTTGGCAGATTTGACTGAGTATGATGTAAGTTGTAGGAGATCCAGGTGTGATCCGCTCCCCTGGATTATCCTCCTGCAGACAGGAGTGCTGTGGAGTGTGCCCATCTTTTGACACAGTCTCTGCTAATGCCATGGAAAATTCCAGTTTGTCTTGCACTGTCTCAGGTTTTTGCTAGGAAAATACCATAGTTCTTAACAGTAATTTTGAGGAGCATAACTGAGATGGTTGTGTAGGTTCCCTTCTTTGTCAGTGGAGAACTCTAGGTGACTCCAGAAAATGATGGAGTTTGTTGGCTGACCTGGATGTCTTTGCTTGCATGTTATCTCTTACCATTTGACTTGTGGAGTTGCTTGCACTCTGCACAGGAGATCTAGGCAACCAGTGTGGGCTCAGAGTCTAGTCTGTAAGTAAAGTTGGACAAAGTGAATTACATGTGCACCAGGGGTTTGGCACCTTAAAAATTAAGTAGGGGCCTAATGTAGTACAGGGGGCACTATAGATGTGTCCTGTCTGGTTTTGAAAAGTTCACTTCCTTGAAAAAAAGGCAAGAGATGTTTGTTTTGGTGTCAGTATCTCAGTGGGAGTGCAAGGGGATGCCCCAGGCTCCTGTCTTATAGTCCTATCTTTGGTTGCCAGTACTTGCTGGAGGTATCCCCACTTAAGCCTTCTTTTGCTGCTTGGGTGGTCACTGTAACTCCCTTTCCCCTGCCTTTCCTAGTTTAAATCTTGCTTGTCCAGGTTGGTAATTCTATTGGCAAAGATTTCTGTGCGCTAATTTGTGAGGTGGATCAGTTTTATATAGAGTAGTCAGGTAGAGAATACTCTCTACATACTATCTTTCAGGATAGAAGGAGTGCTGGAAGCAGTGATTCAGAAGAAACCAAGCAAATGTTCAGCAGTTTTAGCTATTAGCAGGGAACCTCTAGAAAGTCAAGCTGATTTGAGTTGCTGAAACTCTTAAGTGGTGGTTTCAAATATTACTGGAAGTTTCTATCACGGTATGGATTTGTTTGGGCTGTTTGGAAATGTTCTTATATATCTCCTTTTCGCCCAAAATAGGAACTTTAGTGCAATTGGGTAACAATGTGTAGAAATTAAAAGTTTGGTGTCCTGTTAGAGGGAGCAACTAGGAGGAAATGTTCTTGGAACAGTTGTTGTGTCAAGATGCTGAGGGATGTAGTAATAGAGAAATGTTCTTGGCATCAGAAGATTTTTATAGGGACAATACTTGGGCAGTATACAGTGTGTAGTCCTTTGGAAAAGTGTAAGATACTACCCAAGAGATTATCTTCAGTATTCATGCCAACTGCACAGATATATGGAAAATATATACAAAATGTGACACATCACTCTTATATTGTGTTTAGGTTGCAAGTGAGTTTAAAAATGTGTTTATCACAGAGTAAGTGGAAAAAATCAGCCTGTGGCAATACTGAATATTTACATAGCATGGATAAAGGTGACTGTTGCTTTAATTAGGGTACCATCATTTCCCAAATATCCAAAAATTTCCACATTGGACTGTGCATTTGGTTTTTCCTTTTGGAAGGCAAATAGAATTTTTGAAGTCCGCTTTTCAGTTTGTTCATAATACTGTCGGTCAAAACATTAATAATTATGCATAGAGTTAACGTTTGGTCTAAACTGACAAATATTGAATTTTACAACCTGTGTCAAATGTCCAAAAATAAAAAAAAATATATGCTTGTGTTTGTTAGCAAACAGAGGTACAGACACATAGCCTTCAAGCAGGGATTGAATTCTTTCTAAGCTAGATAGAAACCTGGAAAGTAGCAATATCAGGTTATTGGTTGGTTCTTACTGTAGTGCTCTACCATCTTACTAGGTATGTGGCTGTATTATGTATTTGCCAAATTAATGTTATCTTTGCTGACCTACACAATTACTTGCTTAAAAAAATTTAAGTAACTCCCCATCGCCCTGGTACTAAAAGGTAATTTAGTTTCTTTGTTACCCAGTTTCTGTTATTAAACCAAGATTTTCTGTATCTATTAGTAAAGTATTTGTTGGACACAACATTAACTTGAAAAACAGTGTTTTTTAGTACAGGAAAAAGAAATTGGTTTAGCACCCTCATGTAATTTTTTCAACCTGTCATGTCAAAACATGTCTGAAATATGACAATTTGTTAAATGATCTGCTGTATCCTACATACTGGGTAGACTGCATCTGTGTTGCAGTTCAAAAATTGCTGTCTCTTACTATAATAACCCAAAGCTTATTATATATTCTTTATATTTTTAAAACGCTAAAAGAGCAAGCAGGATGTCATTTTTGAGGTAACCAGCAGGCAATGTTGGGGCTCTACAGGGGTTTTCATTAAGTCCTCTTCTTGTATGGCCTGATGAAATGCCATGCCCTGTGCTGGAAAACAAAATAACTGAAAACTATAGGCCCCATGAACTAGGCCTGCAGGAAAAAATTTATTTTTGAGTCCAAATCATATGATCAGTTTGATTCAGATAACATATAGATGAAAGTCCTGAGGTTGTTTTTTTTTAATAATTTTAAAAGAATTTTATTTTCCCAAGTCAAATGTTTTACAACAGAGAACAGGAAGGGTGAGTTTTCTCCCTGTATGTGCCAAGGTCCCATCATCCTTCTTTACTCACAGTCTGTCCCTCTAAAAATATTTCAAGTGTACATCTTAAAATCACTTGGGATTCTTATCTCAGGATAAAAAGGATAGAGAGCGGGAAGTGCTAGATGACCAATGTGAAACACATTGTTTGTAGAGTTCTTGGGTGAAATCCAATCCTGGTCATACCATTTTTATGCTGTACTTTTCTATTGCTTGAAGAATATCCTTATGTGCACATATGAACACACACTAATGCATAAAATCTTCAGTGGCTCTATATAGCATTTGCCAGATACTACTTAAGGGGGTTATTATTTTTTGGCTAAATGAAGCTGAAACTTGCAGAGGATTTAGAAATTTGTATATTTTGAATTTGGTACCAGAAGGTCAAGAATGTTAGAAGACATTTTGATATGGGTTAGTGTCCACATTTTGAGAAATCTTGAGACATTTGTGATGTCTTAGGCATCATTTTTATCTTGGTTTTTAAACCTCCCAATCTCCAAACTGTTACTGAGTTGTTTATCAATATTCAAGACTAAATAATACACTTTGTAAAGCTGGTTTTGAGTTTTTTTGAATTTGACACTATCTTTGTAGCACTTATGCTAAGAAAATTGATCTTCTGTATTTAATTTTTAAGGGAAATACATGCAGATGATGAATATTCTGAAACCTATTGCATTTGATGTGATCCACTTCATGTCCCAGCTCTTCGATTATTATCTGTATGCAGTCTATACGTTTTTTGGCCGAAATGACACGGTAGGTGGAAACTTTTTTTTTTTTCAAGCATCACTGTACACACTGAATGAAAACACAGAGGAGATCTCTTTGCTTAAAATACTACCCAGTATGTAATCCTAAAGAAATTAGTGGCAATAGAATGTATTTGAATGTAGAAGTAAGAAAAGGCTGATTAGATCAGCCATAAGGGAAATAAGTACTGAAAGCATTATTGTCACTAGGACATTAATCATGTTACGTTCTGAATAGATAGATTCTCTATTCTTTTTTCCAACAGTATTAGAAGGGGGAAAAGAAACTGTGATACACATATAAGTAGTGGTAGAAAGTGGGTAGCAAAGGAGCAGTCTGCAGAAGGAGGGTAGTGGGTTTGAGCCCAGAGAATGTGAGGTGATGAAGTTTTTCAGTATATATTTCTCTGGCTTACATAAGAATATTAAAAGGAAGAGGAGAAAGGGGCCATGAAAGTTAAATTGTAACTCAAGTTTAAGAGGTTTGAAAAATACTTTTTTAAATCTAGTGTTCCTCTGTCAAACTACTTGCACTAATGAAAACATTTTTCAGTGATCTTGTAATTGAAATAAGTACTTGTTGGCAATGTCTTTACATAACATAGATAACTTTCAATTGAATTGTGTTGAAGTGTTCATGAATAACTGCGTGTAAAAACAATTTTATCCTCTCTTGGCCCCTAATTTACTCCACAAGTAATAATATCAAGGGGTTCCAAATTCATCATCATCTGTTGGCAAATTGTAACAGATTTTCAGACTCAGCATATGGTTCTGAATGGTTTTGAGCTGTTCTATTTGGCAGGGCAAATGTACTTGCAATTTGTATTTACAAGACGAGTGTTTTGTTTTTTGAAATTTTTTTCCCGTATTGTTTTGGTTTTTGACTTGTTTTGTTTGTTTGTTTGGGGGTTTTTTGTATATTTTTTGGTTAAGGTAATTGATTTCTATTAGCTTAGTCAGTTCTTGGGTATTCACATTGTGTTGCCTTTTTATGTTTTGTTTTGTTTCTTTTGCACCTCCCATTTTGTATTTCTAAAGCTCATACTGACTTCGTTACAGCACAGTGATAGGCAGGTAAACATTATAGCAGATGGTGGTAAAATTGTGATGTGTTGTGATGTAGAGTGCCTAATATTTGTTTTGACAGATGATTTTCCACGGGAAACACAATTCTTACAAGGGTTTATGGTTGTAATAAACTCTCTTGTAATGCTGTTTAAATGTCCTCACTCCCCATAGTGTTTATAAACCTTTAGAAAGTAGAGATGGGTGATGGTATGTGATTTAGACCACTGAGAATGTTCCTGGTTTATTTTTATTTACAAAATAAATTCAAGTGGGATTCTCAGAATACACTGGCGTAAGTTCCTTAGATGTTTGAAATTTTTTGTGAATATTGTGCTTATGTTGTATGTATGAGTTAGTAGACACATGAGGAGAGTGATTAATTGTACTGAGTTCATTGCCAACACTTTTTTTATTTGCGGGATGCAAGTTAAGGCTGCCTTGTCTCAAATTATGGAGAAACACAACATAAAATTAAAAGAAATTGGCTGTGTTTATATCTGCTCACTACAGTGTAAGACATTCATGAACATGCCACAAAATAATCTCCCTTAGCAGAAAACGGATGAGGTGAGTTTAAATTTTTTTTTGACAGGACATCACACCAATTTGTAAACTTTTTTTTTTTATAACTAAAGGGGGCTATGATGAGTAGAATTATTCTGCAAATTGTCTAATGCTCTGCTTACTAGCCTTACTAGGTCATCAACCTGTGGAATTTAAATACCTATCATTTTGCATATAGAACTAGCAAAAACTTCTATGAAGCAAATCACATATACTGATGAGTGACACGTTCTGTGTCAAGCCATGAGGTTCTGTCTGTGTGGAAAAATTCTGATCAACAATTATTTTTTGATATTTTTTGTTTGCTTCTTGTTTTTTTCCCCCCTCATACATATGGGTACATGATTCTGACTTCAGGCTGTAAGTGGCTGCCTGATAAATCGGGAGTACTTGATGTGTAGTGTTCCATGGAAATTTGAGTTTGGTTTTACATTCCTTTTCATTCAGATACGTTTCAAATAGGAAATTATCCTTTTTTAGAAAGAAAGGTATTATAGTAATTATATATTATAATTACATTAGAAATCAGTAAAAGTTACTAATAGCTATTGAAAGTTAGCAATCAAAAGGTAGAAAAAGAAATAATTAGTGGTAAATTGCATGATGTGTAGTTTTCATGGTGCAGATTTCTTAAAATAAAATTTAATGGCTGAAACTTGTGAGTAGATTTTTAATACACGTATATTTTTCCTTTAAGCAGGGTTTTTTCCTCTACTTGTTCTTACCCTGACAGAGAGAATAGTCAGCCTTTAATTTGCAGTCCTTATACCCACTTCTTGAACAACTGTATGATGCTAAGAATTAAGGGTATGTTTCTGTAAGGGAAAGAAATATTCTATTTTTCACCTACATACCTGCAAAATCAAAGGCAGTTCAGAATTTATGCTCCTACAGTAAAAGTTTGAAGAAAAATACAAATTATTATTGTAAAAAAGCTTACTTCACTTGCAGAAAAACAAAGGCATGAACATTTCTATTTAGCAGTTTATGAAATGTGGACACCAGGATAGTGATTATATCTCCTAGATCAGGTTCTAGATTTCATCAGAGTGTACTTCCAGTGGGAATTCAGCTTAGATGTAAATTTTCATTTATTAAGTAGGAGAATTGGGGCAGATGGACATCCTAAGTCAGAAACTTAGATTCAGTAAATGGGGACCTAAATTATACTGCTTTGTCTTTCAAGAAGCAGATGAGATCACTTGAACTCAAAATCTTGTTTCCCTGACTCAGCCCACTGAAGAAAGTCTAATAATACAGTGCATGACAGTGCTCTGAATATTGTTCAGTAAATTGCCTTTTGGTGTGAATCACATACCGGAACTGTATTCAAATCCTTCAAGATTGTTGACTTAAATGTGTGTTTCTTAGATGTCTATTTCCACTTTAACTGTTTTGTTAATTGTTTTCTTTTTTTAAATTAAAAGTAGAAGATAAGTAGGTACAATAATTATGCGTGTCAAATCAGACCCTCAGCTGTATAATCCATTGCACTTAGCAGGAAATTAGTGTAGCTATATTGATTTATCCCAGCTGAGCCTCTACACCATGTACTCCTGAGCCACTAACATGAAGATGGCACCTTTCTCAGGTAGATCTTTACAAGCATTAAGTGATAATGACTCTTTTATAAAGATCGATGGTTATAATTTTTTACATATGTAAGATACATGATTGGTAATTAAATGAGATTTTACAGCTAGAGTGAAGACCATTTGGCTTGGGTGTGGTGTGCATGCAAGTCTCTGAAGGGGCATTGTGGTGCACCATCTGGGCTCATTGCCCAAACGAGAAAATGTAGAGTCCTGCAACCAAATACAGTATTATAACAATAAAGGATTGGTTGTTTTATTAGTATGAATGATAAGCTGTCGTCTTCATGAAAGATACTTATGTCATTCCTCACACCAGTGGAGTGTTGAGTGCCATGACGTGTGCTGATTTTCTTTTCATTTTGTATGGTTGTGATTATGTGCTAAAACTTTAATGTAAGTAAATTGTAGATAGTCTTTGCAAACTTAAGTTTTGCTGTATAACTCTAAAGTTTAAACCAATGAGTTTTCCTGTCTCAAATAGAATGTATTTCTTCCAGTTTGAGTCAGCAGGACTGGGCCTTAGTAGCAGCAGATTACGCACCACACTGAACAGAATCCAAGAGAGTCTGATTGATCTGGTAAGTACCTGTATTTTGTTAATGATTGGTGGAATAGAGGTCTTTGTACAAAATTGAGGAATTATATTTCATTTTGGCTTTTTGATTTTTTTTCTCTTTTCATGTCTGTTGTCTGTGATAAGAAAGGCTTGGTTTCTTGATATAGAGATCATTATAGTATGAAATGACTTGTTGGTAATATACAGCAACACTAATTTAATAGCTTTTGCTAAATGTAACAATAAAATTCTGTATTTAAATCTTCAATTACAGTTCATGTAATAAAGAGAGACAATCAGTATTATCCTTATTAAGAGAAGTTTTATAAAAAGAAAACCAAAAAAACACAATAGGTGCCTCATTTTTCTTAAGTGAAAGAATAGCAAAACAGTAAGCTATCCTGACAATTGTTTACCTTTCAAGATAATAGAGGTATTATACAAAGTCTTTCATTAAGTAATTTCTTAACTTTCCCTGGTGTATTTTTTACATTGTATCCCATTGGTCACTTCATGACTTATTTTCAAAATGTCAAAAGTAAATGCAGTCGTCTGTCACAGTGGTAGTAGCTTACTGTCCTTCACAGGAGGATAGTAAAGGAGACTTTAGGTAGATTTTTTGGATTCAACTGAGCAGCAGAGTTTATAAAGCAATATTGCTAAGAACTACACCAGAAATGGAAATTTAAAGTTCTCTTTTTCCACCAAAATATAAATGCCTTCAAACATTATGAATAAATTTCCTAGGGGTATGATAACTGGCTTGTATAGTAGTTAATACTGTGGGTGCTACAGGAAGGTTTTTTTTTCCTAAGGCTTCTACCTTAGAAAGAAGTAGAAGGCAGATGCTCTAGTCTGACTTTCACAAAGATTTGACACTCCACAGAAATGTACGTTATGCCTTTTTAATTCCTTGAAGTTCTCTCAGAGAAGTGTCTCAAAGGGTTTGGGGCCATTTCTTACAGAGTCAGTAGAGGGAGCATAAGATTGCTAATGAGACTAGGCATCTAAAAAACAGAAAAAGGCTACTCATCTTAATGTTCTTCTCAAAGGCATTGTATTAAAAGAGAAAAATTAATTCTCAGAAGAACTTGCAAATAAATCAGTTAAAGATTATGGAAAATGGCAAGTTATGGAATCAATTCTTTAAACTTACTCTGTAGTGGTGGTTCCTGACAATGCTTTACAGACTTGAAATTTTTTAGCTGTTAAAAAAATAAAATTTAAAAAAACCCACCCACAAACAGACAAACAAACAAACAAACAAAAACAACCAAACAAAAAACACCAAATGTTTCTAGGAGTAAAATGGAAAAATAAGAGCAATTCCTTTTCTTCCTCAGTCATTAACAGTCCTGGAGCAGATAATGTTATTGTCAATTGAAATTAATAGCTATGTTCAAGGTATGATTTTAAAGGGGAAAGAAATCATAGCTAACTGCTATTGGCTTAAAGGCATTCCATGAGATTTATTAATATCCTATGAACTTATGCTGGTCTTATACTGTAAATGGAAATTTTTCATTTTTTGATTTATGAAGAAGTCATGCTTCTGATTCCAAACTGTTACAAATATACTAACAATGAAGTTTTGTCCAATTATGGCTCTTTTTAATCTCTGCCCTGCCATTGAAGACGCTGGTTTAAGTATGATCTGAAATTTCTTTTGATAAATAAGTGAAATGGGCTCAGTTAAAAATAAATAAAAGGCGCCTACCAATTAGCAAAACTGCCTTTATTTACTTTCTTATAGTAACTTATGTGGAAGTGTCCTGGCAGCCTACAATGATTGAGTAAAGAGTTTTCTGTGTATAACCTACCTGTCTTTGCCCTAAAGAAATACTTGTAGGCTAACTCAGAAGTAAAAAATAAAAACACTTTGAGTATTTGTTTTAAAATAGTTCAGGGTCCAGTTTCATTTCTGAGAACAGTATGGCTGTTCTCATTTAAGAGAACAGTATGGCTTTCAAAAATTTTTTTGAAAAAAAAATTTGGCTACCTTGTACTGGACTTAATATGTGTATCTGAACTTCATAGTCAGGCCCTTGCACAGATAGCACAAAATTTTGTACGGATTTCTGCTCTATAGCAGCTTCAGAGTTAATAATTTTGATCCTCCAGAAACAGCACTCTGAAAACACTCTACTCATTCACATCAGCAGGATGTATTAGAAAGAAAACATAGAAAGAGAAAAGTGAAAAAGGGATGAAGAGGTGCTGTCTTCTCAGCCTCACTAAGATGTGATTTGGATCAGGCTAAATACATCAAAAGAAGTCCCTGTTTCTGAGTGGCCTGTATCTCCACACTGGGAGTTCCTGAGTGGGGTGTGGAGAGATACCTACATACAGTTGGTCTTTGTGTTTGTCATTTTAAACAGGAATGTGTTTTCACACAGTAATGGTGTTCATATTAGTTCACTGAGACCTGTAAGCCCCCAGGTAGGGAAAGGCATCAATCACAATGGTGAGATCTGTGATAACTGGTGGTTTGAAAGGAAAATTTCTACTTCTGATTCCTTGCTTTATCTGTTTCCAAGGGGCATCCTTATCTTCACAAAACGTAATGTAGTTGTGATACTGCCATTGCCTAGATGTTGTTTGTGAATGTCCTGTGTATGTAAATAGCTGCTTTGAGCCATATTGCTGCATTCAAAGGAGGTTTGGGGGGAAATTACCATGCAATACTCATAAATATTTCATTGCAATCAGGTTTGCTCAAGCAAAATGGAAATTTAGATGAAGTTTCTTAGAGTTGCTCTGCCTTACAGCAGTAGGAAATAAATCATTGTGGTAAAGCATATAAGCATTTCAATGCAATGTATAGAAGAGTAGATGGAAGGAATTAGTGATATAAATAAGTATTGGTCAGTGTATTTTATATTCTGTCTTTACTTTGGCTTTTGATCTCTTTCCCCAGAAAGTATATGCCTTTTGGCAGAGTCAGTAAGTTAGAGACTGATAGTGCAGAGAAAGAAAATGTAGATTTTTCATCTGTGCAGATAAGATAAGGTTTGGTAAAAACAAATTTTTTCTTCATGCCTGACTTTCCAGTCCATTTTGGCTTTGACCCTTTGATGTTGTGGAACGGTACGGTTCAGTTACATTAGTCCCAGTTCTGGAAACAAACACTTACTAAAATATCACAGCACAGTCCTGCATTACTTAGTGTGGACATACACCCTACTGTGTATGGTTTTTCATACCAAGGGCAAGCTCTGGAGAGTCTTGCTGTGGAATTTATCCCCTGACATGGCCATGCCTAGCAGAGGATGCAGCTCCTAAAGGTCATAACTAAGGTCTTCAGTGAAATGGTAGTTGTGATTCTTGGTGCAGGTTTGCTTGGCTGAAGATAATTTTTGCAATTTTTTTAATCCTTGCTTAGTCTCCTGCTACTTAAAAAAAACCAAACAAACAAACCTGAAGAAAAAAAGAAGGAACACAATTTTTGGTTTTTTTTCCTTCCTCTTTGAAAAAGATTTCTATAAGGTGTATAATGACAACGTTTAAGGTATTGTATGAATTGCTTCTCAAAGGAAGAAAACTCCATCTATACAAAAGAAAGTTCTGAATGACAAGCACTTTGAAATTATGGTAGGACTTCTGCAACTGTTTTCCTTCCTCACATTTATTAATTTAGAGTTCTTCATACAGCTTTTTTTGTTTACTTGGCTGTATTACCGAAGTAGACTGGAATAATTTCCTGAAGTTTTCTAGCTTATTTAATTGAATAATTTTTCTGGGTTTTTGCAATTGCTTGGTCTCTCTTTGGGCATTCTCTGAGCGATCTTACTTTAATCACTTCAGACTCTCCTTCCTGGGCACTCAGAACAGTTCCAGAGGAGTGCAGTTGTCCAGACAGTTACAGCTGAGCATCTGGGAACCAGTGACAGCTCCTGCTGTAAAACTTTCTTTGTATAAGAAAGTGCTGCAGTAAAAATCTGTGTGAGCAGACCAGATTGTTTTACATGTTTCTTTGTAAGGTAGTGGTTCAGGCTGCCAAGGCTGAGGCAGTGGGCGTGCTTTTCTTTGGTATCTCATTTGATATTTATTTTTTTTAGAGCGTAGTTAATGACTCCTTTTTTTGGTTGTCTGTCAGCACACAGTGATTCCTGATGGAGGCTTTGTTGCATTGGGTCAGATAAGGTGTTAAATAAACTTTTTAACTTCTGGTAATTTTTTTTACGCAAAATGTCTTCAATTTAACTTTGAAAACTAAAAAAAAAAAAAAAAGCAAAGATCCCAGAAGTTTCTGCACAAACTTCGTTTTCTTTTATCCTTTATACTCTTCTGGAATCAGAACCTCATGCCTGCCATGAGGTAATGCTGATCAACTCAGCCCTGGGGCTGGTGCTAAATGTGTGCACTGTATGTATTGGGAAGCTTGGGGTTCCCTTGCATGGCTCTTGTCATGCTGTAAAGGTTTCTCAGGATGGTTTGTTGTTTGGTTTTCAATGATCTCTTTTCTTAAAATCTGTAGAGTAGTAATCATTGCAGTAGTTTACATTGTTTATGTTTGCTTTACTTTCCTAAAGGTTGAGTCAATGTTACGTGGTTGGTAAGCTTCCTGCCCCTCAGCAAGAATCTTGCGACTGAAAATGTAGTAGCAGTATTGTAAAGTACCATTTTTAAACCTTAACACATTTACACCATATTCAGAAAGTACTTTTGCCTTGAAAGCAATGTGCTTTTACCATTGGCCTTGCCTATCATTTTCAACATTAAGTTTCAAGAACAATTATGGATGTGTAAGTCAAAGCTCAAAAGGGAGGAAAATAACCTGATTTGTTGCTTTCAGTACAAATCTTATGAAAAAAATTCTTGTGTATTAAGCAACTACTTGGAGTTGGTTGAGCTGTTTTACGACAGCTTTTGAATACAGTAAGTTATACTTTCTTTAATCAGTTTATTTTCTTGTAATCTATGTTCATGAGATTACTGAAACTATCAATTACAGTTTTATATACAGAGACAATAGAGCTACCGTGTTTTGTGTAAACATTTGGGGTTAGTCTGCTTTCTGCTTTTTTTTGTCCATCAGCACACATCAAGTTCTCGGTAACAGTGTTGGTATGTCAGAGCTGCTGTAGACTGTTCTATTGCCACAACCTTTTCAGATAGTACTTGTTTGTCCATGCCTTTTGAAAACCACTTAGTCCTTTAAGACTGCAATTTTTTTGGTAGCCTAAAGCAGTGTTGCAAAATTAAAACTAAAATTTTTTCTCTTGTATGTGTATATATTAAAAAGTTCTAAAACTAGAGTCTTATGCAAAACATGTTAGGACAGAAGAAGCACAGTTTTGGAGGATCATTCGTTGTAAGTGTGATCTGCAGAACATTGTGTGCTGGAGACAGGTTGTGGAGTTCACTGGTTTTTGTAAAAAGTTAATGAAAGTGGATGAGTGTAATTAACTGTCAACAACCCCCACCATAACTGGCAGATAATCAGTCATTTTGGTCATAAGTTCTTTTGGATAACTGAAATAAATACATACTTCTTTTCTCACAATGAAATCAGGCTCCATAAAAATGTCTCTCTTGCGAATTGCATGTGAAATTCTTGACTTACATAATTAGCTTAGATAGTTTATACTTCTGATTAAGGTAATTAATTTATAGTCTCATCTTTCCATTAAGATGAAAGGCTTAACGGAAGTTTAGTACTGGGTTCAGTCAAACCACTGAAATGAAAAAGTTCTCTTGTTATGCATGACATTTTTTGGAGGAAGAGATTGAAGGAGACACTTGTTCCTTACAGGTTTTTTTTTCCTTCCTATTCATTAAAAATTTCTTCTTTGGAGTAAACAATAAATGCTAAAGTAAAAATACCCAACAATTAAACAATATCATGTTCCTATTCATTTGATACCTGATATTTGCTAATACACATGCCTTTCTTTTGTAAAAACATGTTCCAGATGAAATTTAATTCAAATCTGCATATCTCAGAAAGTTACTTCCCAAAGCGCACACTATCTCTCATACTGCTGTTATTAGCAACCCCTTAAACAGGTAAAGCAGTTATAAGCCTCTTTTAACACTTCTTTATACTGATATTTTCAGGCCTTTATTGTAAAGCCACTTTTATAAATAATTTTTAATTGTGTATGCCAGTTGTGAGTAGCATTAGAAAACAGTTCTTTTCCTATGATAGTATGAGGAAATGAGGCTAGACTAGAGAAAATTAAATAGATAAGACCTGTTGTAAAGTATCTGCATGCAATTCTTCTTAACCTGTCCTGCTGCACCTGCTACAGTTATGTATTTATTGTTCAGATAAGTTTGGTGCCTTTAATGATTTTTTTTTTTAACACTTCATGTTTTTTTCCTGTTTGTCAAGGAAGGAGAAGAGCATCTTGTAGTTTGCATCAGTTCCGTGTATGCCTTGAAGTTATTTTAAAAAATCTCTTGCCCAGTTTGCTTACAAGGATGTTGTATGGGCTGTGATATGTCTTAAATATAACCAGAGTGTTCTGCTCAATCAGTAAGGCCTGCTAGTCTGACCAAGGAAAAGCTAAGCAAGTTTGTTCTGCTCTGATATTACTCTCTGCATGCTTGATGCTGGCTGCTACAAAATGTTGTCTGTAATTTGACATTTCTTGAAATTAAAATTTGGTTTGCTGTTTAATGTCTTGGCTTATACTTCCTTCCTTCTCCTCCTCCTCCTCTTGAGATTGGCACTCACTTTCAGTTTGCAGGACTTTACCTGTTTGCTATGGTACTCAAAAGGAGCCGCTGACAACAGACACTGTCTTGCAGATTTTCTTAATTACTGGAAGGGTTAACTTTAAAAAGTCCAGTGCACTGAAAAACATCTGATTTCTTTAAATAGTCTGTAGCCTTTTTTCCTGTTCTAGCCCGTATGTTTTGCCCCTGTATTGCTGCTTTCAGTCATTTGATCATTTCTGTTAATGAAGGCAGGAGAAAAAACGACAGGCATCACTGAGGCCCTTTCAGAGTGATCATGTGATTTTTGGGGGGATTGGCACACCGGCTGTTTTCTTGGGCTTCCTTTTTGTTACAAACATACTTTTGCAGTGCCTGCTTTTTAGAACAAATTAGAATGAATGCTCGTGCTGTGTTTGGCTAGTATATTTGAACCAGAATTAGGCTCCTTAGTTGAATCCTTGGGTGTCTTTGACTGAGCTAGTTCTCATGTACATTTTGTGTCTTCAGATGCAACATTATTTTGGCATTTAAAAGATTAAAAAGATATTTACCTTCATGGGAAGCAGGCAGGAAGAAAAAACTCGTTTAAAATTTCTCGAAAGTGGCAGGCAACTGTGAAGTGTGATAAATACAAAATTAAACCTGCGTAATATTTGGTTTTTTACATAATTTGTAATTAGTCTTTGAGAGAAAGAAAACTGCTTAGGTCTTTAGCACTGGTACTCTTCCCCCAGCTCTGTGACTTTCTGTCTCTTCTAAGAACAGAGTATTGTTTGGTGGTCTGTGTGTTTGTTACTTTTTGTTCTGTGTAAACATTTCAAAGGTTCTCTCCTTTTTTTTGTTTGTTGTTTGTTTGGGTTGGTTTAGGTTTTTTGAGAATGGAATGAAGTGAAAAAAGAAAAAGAGGGCAGATAAAGAGAGACTTATAATAGTTAATCGGTGGTGTCTTTGGCTCAGTTAATATTTTTAGATAATTGATTGTTGTGCCTAGATGATTAGATGTCATTGCCCAAGTGCAGTATACTTGTGGATGTGCTCTGTAGGTACCTGAGAGCTGCTTAAAAGAGATTGCATGAGATTTAGCAAATATCCAGACATTTTGACTTGCTTGTCCATTCTGAGAGACTCAGCAGAATGTAAACTTCATTGTATTGTGAAGCATCTGGCCGGTTTAATTGCAAATTTATCTGACTGAATGTGAACGCAGATCAGAGCAAGGAATATTCATTTTGCAAATAATGTAGCATTTTGGCTAACCTTTATAATCATTCCTGTGCTCAGTGCAACTGTATCTAACAGTTTTGCCATAAGCTTCTTTTGGAAGTTCTATCTTCTGCTCAACAATCTATTTCTATGAGATCTTAGTGCTACGAATGCTGTCTTGTATTGCTCAGTCAGCAGTCCTTGTTTTTAATGTCAGAATTTCTGTGGGGATCCATCAAGGCTCCTTGCTTTGTAGGCTTTTTGCTTCTGTAACTTATTACAAAATTTTCTTATAAATCTGAGGATACTTTCCTCACCCTTGTTAATGGAAACTCTGCTTTCCCAGTCTGTGCGTTGTTCCATCTGCTATATCCTGTTTTTGTCATTGTGTTTGACGTCTTTGGAAGATGCAAAACTGAAAGAGCCTTTCTGATTTAGCAAATCCACCTCCCTGTTGCCTTGGGCTGCCGCACCACAGGAGGAAACTGTCAACTAAAATCCAAGATAGTTAAAGTGAAACGTGTGAATTTTTGTTCCTCCACACCTCAAACCATTTTAACAGCTTGGACACTATTATCTTCTCAGTGGTCTTATATTCTTAATGTCACTTTTGGCTTGGCTTTCATCCAAACAGTAAACACATTCTGCTGCTGCTTTGTCTATGGCAGCAAAGTGTTGATCTTTCTGCTCATTTAATTTTCACCCAGTGCTTACACATTTTGACATAATCAATTTTCACCTGCGCTACCTTTAATTGCTGCAGTATAACCACCATGGGTCTGTCAGATATTTTGCTATCAGAATAACATCCCTGTTGGTTTACCACTTTTCACCTGATCATTTGTGCAGTACCTTTTGGCTTTCCAAGATCTTCAATGCATATTCCTTCTTGTCTCAATCTTGACATACAGAATGAGTTATGCCACCACTAAGTTCCATTGGTGTGTCTGGTGCTTGTTGCTCTCCTTTTCTTCTTTGGCAAAAGTGTCTGAAAAAAAACCTGTGTGAATAGCAATTATTCTATTTCAGATCACTTCTCACAGTTGTTCTCTGCTGTGAAGCGTGGAAGATACTCCTGGTGACTGTTGTGGTCAGATTGAGCCTCTTTTTCTTCCTCCTTCTTTAGTTACTTCACTGCGATTTCCTCTCATTTTATTTCCGTCTCCAGTTGAAAAAACGACCAAACAATCCACAAACTTCAAGGCTGCTTTATTTTCCATTACCTTGGTTTTGGCTTCACCTTTTTCCATTTTTTTACAGCCATTTGAGAATTAAACAGATTTGGTTTTTTGAGTCCAACTGTGAATGTTATGTTTAAGCATTATTGTTGTCACACTGGTTGTTGTGTTCATATGCTGCTTTACAACAGATGTGTTGTGCCACTGTAAGATGGAAAATACTATCTGCAAGGGTGAGAAGCCAGTTTTGCAAAAGGCAGTCTGGCTAAAGCCTGTTTGGGTGTTAAGGTGTAGTGAGAAGTTTATTCTCTGCCTTTTTTTCTTATTTTTATTTTTTCCTTAGATACTGATCTGCATTATACGATTTTTTTTCACCCATTTGAACACTATACTGTTCAAATAGAATACTCTATGGTTATCGTTAGATTTAGGCTTGATTTAAATTACACCTTAAAATTCGAAACATTCCTTCATTTTATCTGGCATCTGAAACTGCTACGTTGGAACCATCCTTGCTGGTTTTGTGGGGTTTAATTTGTTTAATTCTTTGTTTTAGGAGGTCTCTGCTGATCCTTCAGGAACTCTCACAGCTGCTGAAGAGAGAAAAGAGAAGGTGCCAAGCCCACATCTCAGTCATCTCGTAGTTTTGACATCTGGCAATTCACTCTATGGTTTGGCAGAGAGAGTGGTGGCCACAGAATCCTTGTAGGTTGTTTATTGAACACAGTATTTTGTGATCACTGAAAGCTGGGGATGGTTTAAGAAATTGTGATTACAAGACAAAACCTTCTTGAGAGCTGAAAAATTCGTACATCTCAATGTGACTTTAAGTATGAGTGATAGAGGTAATTTCTTTATTAAAAATAGTGGGACCTGACCTTCTGGTCTAAGAATCTGCAAACACAAGCAATTAAATTTTACTGCAGGTAGTCCAGTAATTTCTGGCAATACAAGGCCAAATGTAACAAGAAAAACGTTCGAAGAGGCTAATTCAGTCTGTATGGTTCATTTTAACCTTATATTAAGTACTGAAATAGTGATGGCTGAGCCTCAAAACTGCTTAGTTCATATTGGTTTAGTTTGGATTACCATATTTTTTGCAATGGGTAGAAGCAGAACGGCGAAGAAGAGATTATAATGAGCAAGTAATGCAAAAGTTTCAAAGTGGTTTTTCTTTGATCAGAATAATAGTAAGGGTCAGGTAAGAATTGTTTTTTCCCTACATGAGATGACACTTGGAGATTAGAAATAAATTTTAAAAATATATTTTTCATTTATGCTTAGTTAGAAATGTATTTCCTTGTTATGTTGTTAATAACAAATTCTACCTGTGAGAATGAATATGAGATCAAGTTCTATCTTATAGATTCACTAATATATAAGTAATTAGGAATGGGTTTTTTTGAATTATGACATGGATTTATTACTACTGTTGCTGACTATCCTGCAGTATGGAAATTGCTTGACACTTGGCCACTGACTTTACTAGACCTTGCAACAGACCTTGCAGCAGTGTATCCTGAGTAGAATAGAAATATGAATTGTTGGTGTTCAAGCCTTAGTCTCTTAATTCAAGAATTTTCTTTGCAAGCATATTTTAAAATTGTCAGAATTGAGAATACTTGTTATGCTGTCATGAAACTGATACAGTTCTTCTCAGGACCAAATTTTCCAAAGTTACATATTGTTATTGTCAAGTATGTCAGCTGTAGAGTAGAAATTGTAAAGAGACATGCCAGACATTGCATTTAGTTCACAGTAAATTTTCTTTGCTTTCAAAGGGTATTTCTGGCTGAGCAGTTTGAATTTCTTCAGCCTCATCTTGACGCAGTGATGCCAGCTGCCAAGAAGCCTTTTCTTCAGCAGTTCTATTCTCAGGTCAGAATTGTGTAATTCACAGCTGATTTTTAAACAGAAGATTTCAAACTTGTACATTACAGTGCAAATGCTTGTACATAATAGTTATATATTGCTCCTACTAGCCAGAAATTTACTGAATTGAATTCTGTTTATGTTCTGTTTCAGACAGTGTCAACTGCCAGTGAACTACGTAAACCAGTTTATTGGATTGTTGCTGCTAAAGCCATTGATTATGAACAAATGCTACTTCTCATGGCTAATGTGAAATGGGATGTGAAGGAAATCATGTCACAGCACAATGTATATGTAGATGCTCTTTTAAAGGTAAATACCTTACGGGAAATGGTGTGATAGAGTTTATATAAGCATTAAATTGTTTTCAGTGATGATTTCCTGACTATGTGGTGGTTGAAAGTGACCACAAAAGTTTAATGAGTCTCATGTTTTATTTTAAAGATATGTGAAGTGTGTATCCCAGAAAAGGCTACACATCTGTGTTAAATAACAGTTTTGATAACACCTTTGTACTTTGTAGCTCTTCTCTGCTTGAAAAAAAAATCAGGGCAAAGAAGAAAGAATTTGACAGAGGATATATTGTTATACTAAATTTGACAGAGTCTTTGTGATTACCCTTGTTTGTGCTGCCATGGCTTTTTGTTATCAGTTTGTGCTTAAAACAGATTTAAAATAGTTGATCTCTGGGGTAAAAGTTTTTCCTTTTGTGAGTGCGCAACTGCTGATGAATTTGCTTCAGGACAATCAGCGCTAATACCATCTAAAACCAATTCTGGTCTCTACATTATATGGCTAGTACTAATTACTCCAAAAGCTCTTAGGTTACTACTAAGCAATTAGTGATTTGCTGCATGCACTAGGACTCCAGGAATGTCAGATGTAGGTAGTGTCTAAAGTAATAGTCAATTACTTTCAGCCATGTGCACACATATGCAAAATTTAATATTCAGTCAGAGCATGTATGGAAGCAGATAAAGTGGGGAAGGATAATTGTTCAGGAAATTGATTGTTGTGGAGCGTTAGGCATCTTCATCTTCAGAAGTGTCAGTTGTATGCCAAATTAAAGCATGACATAGTGTACCCTGCTTCTTCTTGCTGAATTCATCTTTCAGAAAATTTGTGTTAAACACCAAATGGTTACTCACATTTCTTTCTGATTTTCTTCACTTACTGAATTTTTGATGGGGAAGGGTATAAGAAGAAATTAACAGCCTTAGAATGAAAAGACTTTGTTGGACAAATATGGTCTTAATAGGCTGCACTGCAAACTGCTTTTGCTGGTTATACAGAAGAGTTCATTACCAGTCTGTTTTATATTTAAGTAATTTGATAAATTTTTTAAATGATAGAAGCATGAGGGACCAGCAGCAAACTTCTGTTTCACTTTATTTAAGTCACTAAGTCATTGTAGTAGTAATTACATTCAGTTATGACTAATTTCTCACTCCTAGTATCAGCTCAAATCCATCCAGGACATTGATGTTTCATGTAGAAACAGGTCCCTTCCCTTACCCTGAATCGTTATCTAGTGCTGCAGTGTGCTCCTAAACTGTTAGATTTGGCCTCTTTCAATGGGTTCTCTCAGCTCTTTCTAAAGCACTGAGGAACTATCTAATCTGAAAGGTTGAAGAAAATGGTTACAATATTTCTGAGCTTCTCTTTGAGAGCTGATGAGGTGGGTATTTAGAGGGATAAAGAGATCATCACTGGATTTTCTTCAGTGGCTGTACATTGACTTAACGAAGTCAAATATGAGTTTAGGGAGTGAGGCAATGAAAATGGCATTTGAAGGATAAGCTACTTGGTTCATTTTTGAAGGTGTCATTTTCACAGAGAACTACAGCCCTGGGGAACAGAACAGCATTTCCTTTTGAAAAAAAAAAAATCACTGAAGTGGTGTTGTGAATTATGTACTAGAAAGAAGTATGTTTTCTACTTTACACATTAATCTTTTCTGTACACTCTATGTCTATTAGGCTTCTCTGCTTTGCTCTTATTTTTCAGTATTCTCTTTCATGTGCGTCTCTAATTCTTTGTTGTTGTTGTATGATGTATAGAGTATGATTCATTTTTTGCTAAAAGAGTAAACATTTTTTATGTTTTACCAGGAATTTGAAGAATTTAACAGAAGGTTGAATGAAGTGTCTAAGAGAGTCCGTATTCCACTGCCAGTCTCCAACATCCTTTGGGAACACTGCATACGCTTGGCCAATAGAACTCTTGTGGAAGGGTGAGTAGTTCATGAAAGTCTTGCTTTTGGGTAAGTATGTCTGTAATGTTAACATTTATTTTATGGAAGTTCTAATTTTGTAGCACCCGTGTGCTTTTGTGAGCCTAAAAGTAGTGCTTAACATACTCCTTAGCAGCTGTTTCAGAGAGTGTGGCCCTAAGCCTAAAAGGGGTGGTCTTGTTCCTAGGTACCTCTGAGGATTGACATTCAATGTATCACTGAAGCATTAGTGCTCTTTCAAAGCAACTTCTATATGAAAATTATCATTTCCCAGCAGGGCAAAGAAGAAAGTTAGAAGTGCAGTTGTCAGCAGCTCAGTGGTGATACGATTTATCTTAGCCAGGAAGAAAGATGGAGTTGTCAACCTTAGCCGTCATCTTGGAGTAGCCATGGAACAGGATTTCTCCAAATGCATCAGGAATAGAAAGGTGTCTTAGTTGGCTTGGTCAATAGAGGCTCAAGCACCTTAGTCAGGAACTGTAACAGCTTGCTCATCCCTCTCTTTTTTAATCAGTGCCCCAGTCTTTTCAGATTCAATATTGTAGCCTAAGTGTTGCAGACCTTTCATCCACTGCATTTATTTTTGTGGGTTTGTCCCCTTGCTACATATGTCTGGGCTCTCATCACAGCTTCTTCTACATTGTAGAATATGTGCTGTCTTCCACTCCTTCTTTCCATATTTCTGTCCTGATTATCTTTATCCTATGCACTTCCTACTACCTATTTTATTTCTTTACATCCCACTCTCCTGCTGTCTGCTCTAAATTAGGACCTCAACAAAACATCCTTCTTCTCCAAGTGTTAGCTGCCTTTTGAGGATCGTCAGCTTTCACTGTTTCCATCAAACCATAATTTTTTAACTCATGCCCATTTTTTTTCATGCCATCATCCTTTTGCAGTCTCTCAAGAAATCAGTTTCGTGTTCAGGGCAACTAAATCCAACCATGACCTCCCTCTGGCTTCTCAATTCCTTCATATGACATATGACCTCTACAACTATCTTTCTTTTTGGAATTTTATTTTCCAGTTATCATACCTCAAATCAAAAGAAGTGAAATAAAGACATCTCTCTTCTCCTCAGCTGCCCACCTTATCTTTCAAGTCAATAACAGTCAGTCAGTCTGAGTCAGCCTGCAGAAGACATCCTAAAAGTTCTTGTCTGCTTTTAATTTAAAACCTTAATTATGTTTCTCCTCAAGGTTCAAAGGGCTAGGTTAAACAAAATTAACCAGGAGCAAAGTTAATTTTTATTTCCTTCTAAGTTTTGCTTTCCATTTTTTCTCTTTTTAGTTATGCCAATGTAAAGAAGTGCAGCAATGAAGGACGTGCCTTGATGCAACTGGACTTTCAGCAGTTCCTAATGAAACTAGAAAAGTTAACAGACATTAGGCCTATTCCAGATAAAGAATTTGTGGAGACCTACATTAAAGCATACTACCTAACAGAAAATGACATGGAACGCTGGATAAAAGAACATAGGGTAAGAGTTAAATTTGCATAATAAGTAATCAATGTGTTAAAAAATTAATATATACATATATATGTGTATATTAATTTATTACAGTAAAATCTGTATAGGAAGAAGTGTAAATGTAATTGTATGTGTGCATGTATGTGTTCATTATCACGTGAAGTCAGTATGTGATTGTATTGGTTCACAGTCTGGTGACTGGGAAGGATGACTAAACCAGTCACAGCTACCTACTGTATCAAAAAATGTAGAGAACTCAAGCAAAGTGAAATTGAAAACATTTGTGTGCTGTTCAGAATATGCCAAAGTGCACAACTCCGTCATCAAGAAGTATGGTTTGAAATTGCCCCATGAAGTTTTGCATTGCCTTTAGGAGTAGATTGCTTAAACTAAGTTGTAAAGCACGAGGAATAAGAACTCCTTCTTCTTTCCTTATTTAATAGTGCTTAATCAGGATTAACATTGCTCTCTGAGATGAGTCTTCATTTGTGTTTTGAGAACATTCAGCATGCTTTCATGATAGCATAAACTAACAGTTATAACAGGTCTGTGTAAGTAGTGGTCACATGCTGTTGGAGATGCCAGCTGTTGAATGAAAAGTCTTTTAAAGTGTAGCACTGGAAATCTGTATTTTGGGATTACTTTAAATCCCACTAGAAATGGATGAAGGAAATTTGTCTTTAATATAATTTTCCTTGTTTTACCTGGAGTCAAGAGAGAGACTGTGAGCTGGTGTTTGATGACCTTTGTGGAAAAACTCTTGTTTAAACCCATTAGTGGAAGCTGTGTTTTGGATAGTGTTAGATATAAAGGTAATCCTGGCAAATACGGTGTTTTCACAGATGTTAAGAATTCTTATCTTAACATTTTTGTCGTTTTTCCCTCCTTTACCGTGTACTGAAGTTAACACTGTTTGGAGACTCTGTAGACAGAAGCATTTAGGAGCTAATCGGAAATGAAAAGACAAAATAAAAAAGATCAACTTTTCTCAGTTTGTCTGTGTTAAAAGCTTAACCGTTTGCACACATATTTCCCACCAAAGGGAAATTTCTTCCTCCCAAAGAATGGAAAAAATATTAAAAATTGATTTATATACGTGTTCACAGAGTTACTTTCTGTGAACTCTGTCCAACTCTTCTAAAGTTGTAAGCATTTTCCATTATAATCTGCCATGTAGTGAAATACAGTTTTGTCCTCTGCCTCAACTCTGAAAACTATCCAGACCTGACTTAAATACTGCTTTAAGTCTGCCTTATGTACTGACTGCTACTATCCGTTGAAAAGTCCACACTGAGTATGTCTGCATTTTATTAATTTTGTATCTTTGGTGTTTTATTTTCCATAACATGATCTGCTTTTGTTTGCCAGGAGTATTCCACTAAGCAGTTGACCAATCTGGTGAATGTTTGTCTGGGCTCCCACATCAACAAAAAGGCAAGACAGAAGCTGTTAGCTGCCATTGACGACATAGACAGGCCTAAAAGATAACTGGAGAAAGCTGCTTTCCTTGTGACTTGTACCTTTTCCTGTTCATGTGAAGCATGCAGCCTCTCATGCACTAATGGCAACATGAAATGTTGTGCATGGCCTTTCTTACCAACACTGGAGGCACTCTGAAGTGACATAGTATTCTAAAATATGATTTTTCTAATCTGTAGAATTCTTTTCTGTTGTATTTCTTTCTTCTTTTTTTTTTTTTTTTTGTTTTGTTTTGTTTTTTGTTACTTGCCCTTAGAAAAAGGGCCACTGTTTGTGTATCATTGGTGAGCTGTATATTTTGCAGAATTTATACTGTAAGTAAAATCAAAATCAGAGAGAAACACACTGGCTTAATATATCATTGATGCTCTTTATTAATAAAAGGGCTACTTGAAAATATGATTTCTTTCCTCCCTGCTTTCACCCTCAGAAATTGTGCTTTATTATGGACCAGTGTAAAATGAAAGGAAATGTACAATATTTAATCGATGTATGCTGCATGTGGATTAAGAGTGCAGATCAACTACATAACTCTCATGTTAAAGCCCCTCATCTTTATATGTATTTAAAAATGTCTATTTCAGAATTAATTTAGTCATATCAAAATTGTTGACTTCAGATTAATAGAAGGTAATAAATACTGTACACTAATATGATTTCTTTGTGAGACTTTGTTTTTCCAATTCAACAACTCAGAGTGTCAGCAATAATGCCAGGGAATTGGAATAATGTTTTTGTGGCTGAAGTTCTGGATTGATACTAAGATAATCTTCCTGTTTCCTGCTTAGCTGTAGATCCTGAGTGATCCTGAGCAAAGCAAAATGGCTTGGCTGCGTATTTGTCCTAGAAATCAATTTGTCAGAGCTTCACTGACTACACTGAAGTTTTCAGGTTTGCCTCTGGTTTTCAGTATGTAAAGTTTTAGAAATTTGATTTTTTATTACACAATAAACTTTTTGCAGTGCTCTCAGACCTTTTAAAAGGAAACACTGAGCTAATAGGTAAAATAATTCACATGGATATAGTCTACTAGTGCATACAACATGCTAAATTCTCAGTTTGTGATTCATACTTGCCATTATATTTTAATTCAGACATGGGAGAATCAGGACATACTGAATGACAGCAGTAACCTAGTGACAGAAAATTGCCCCTTGGATCATCAATTGCTCTTCTCTGGGGCTTAATTTCCTCTTCAGAAGTGTACTGAGCATCATTGTGTGAGTTCAAAGAAAGCCTGTGTACAGTTTTAGAAGAATGATAGAATTTACATTTTAAATATTGACTGTGTGGTATTCAGCTTCCTTGTTTATCTGTATATTTTAAAGGAAATAAGATTTAAAACAGAATTTAACACCGTTCTTTATTGACCATGCTGTCATGTCTAGTTCCATTTAAAACTTGCTTAGTGGTTTGTCACCATATAAGTTGAAGCTGAATCACTTTTACCCTCATTAAAAAGGTGGTTCAGATGAAAGTGTGGACTTCTGCGTCAGCGTATCTGCCCTGAAGTCAGATCCTGAGCAAGAGCTCTTGGAAGAAATAGAAACGTGTCAGAGACAATTAGTGTAAAATATGTTTCAATTTTCTTCTCTTGGATGAAATAAGAAATTCAAATATCTTTACTGAAGCTTTGCTGAGCTGAACACATGGTAATTTCCCCTGAACTGCTTAGGTCACTGTAATTTGATTGCTTACCGAAAGGTAGGGGTATAAGTACTGATTGGAATGTAGGGTCAAGGTGAGCAATCACGTGAAACATAGTCAGGAGTGATTTTTGTAGTGTATGTATAAGTTTGACTTGTTTTTTTAAGTTAGCCCCCAAGTAAAAGAATGTGCGAGATGCAGTGATAAACTATGCACCAGCTGTTTGATCTTCATTCATATATGCCTCAGAAATTATTATATTTTTCACAGAAGCCTTCCCTTGCTCCCCACAATTGATGCTAAGGGAAAAGCCACGTAGCTTAGTGGCCTGCATACACTCTTTAACTATCATGTTGCCCTGTATAGAGTCAGGAATTGGACTCAGTGATCCTTGTGGGTCCATTCCAGCTCAGGATATTCTATATTCTTTGGTCTTGGGTGAGTAATGAAGCCAAATTTTGACCGAATGCTGAATTGTTTACTTACTAAGGGTTTGTTTTGTAGTTTCCATCCTTGATGTGAGAATTCTTTACAAAGCACTGATTTTTGAGCATCTCTGTGCATCTTCCTTCTCCTGGGCAATAAGAAGCCTCTTATACTGCTTTTTGTGCAATAGAGAATATTGCTTAAATATCATTTATGTTTTAGAGGAGAGTTTTGAATTACTATAATTATAGAAGGGAATTTTCTTCAGTCTCTAAGTAGAATGACCAGCAGTGCAGGGGTGGACAGTGCATCTGTCTGTCCTTCTATAGCCTAATGAACACTTTAAATCCTGATCCCCAGACAATAAGGGCTCTGATGTTTGTCAAACTCAGCTGGAGCACAGATGAGCAGTTTTCAAGTTTCTTATGAGGCAAATAGTAGCCACGCAGTGATGAGTGCACAACTGGATTTTCAGCAGTCAGCTTCTCTCAGTTACATCCCATGGTGATGCTGTTCTGCAGAGAAGCAGCTACTGGGACAAAAATAGGGGGAAGCCAGCTGATTGTTTGCTGTGGCCCTGGTGTAAGATTAAAGTCCTTGCTTTGGTGTAGGTTTAATTATTCAAAGTAGAATGGCATTGATGGGAAAGACCGCCTTGGAACAGCAGTGCTTCAGCTGCTGGGAAGTGTGCAGAGCAGCCCTGGAGGTGTTAATTCAGATGCCTGATCTGAGTACGTACACAAATGCTTGTTGTTTTCAGAAGAGTATATTTTCGGGTAATTGACTGTTCTGGATTCTGTTGTTCCCACATGGGTAAGAGTCTTCCCATGTCTAAAATAAAAGCTTGGCTTGCTTCTATCTGCAGTGGGAAAAGCTAGGCCCTGGCCAGATCTGCTTAGCAAGCCCTGGATGTAGGGTATAGATTATAGCTTGTTCACTGAAAGAACAGCCTGCCTTCTTTTGTCCCCACACTCTTTTTTATTCCCTTTTAGTTTCTGCAGATGTGAATGGCAAAGGCATATCTTTGTGACAGAAACCCAATGAAAAGCTGCAGATGTGGGTTGTGCTCTTGACTTGTTGTTGTGCCACAGAATACACAAAATTATAAATATCTCTCTTCTTACTATAAAAGAGACTTGGTTTTTAAGGATCTCTTGCTCATCCATGAGATTCTGAAGCATCTTCATGGAACAGCATCTTTAAATAATACTCAGGACTTCACAAGCACATGTTGTGTTTTCGTTTTCTTTTATTAGTAGGCATTAAATCAATAGCATGGTATATGATCTAAGTACATGCCTGAGAAACTAATGGTGACAGAATTAACTTTCTTTTTTTATGTTTGCTCAGTTTTAATTCAGTGGAGTATTCTGTCCAGTCCTATAGAGTTTACATAAAGCTAAGTTAAAAACAGTTGGATGTGAACTAAACTTGAGTCTACTTGGCTATCCTGCTAAACAAAGTCCCCACAGTATCTCTCAGCTGTGCTGGTTTGGTCTGGAACTCTGGATCTTGATATGTAAGTGAAAGAAAAACAACTTTCAGAGCAGGGATGTATAGATCTATGTGTTACATATGTAGATTGTCTTGCACAGGTTTCAACATTGTCAGGTTTAAAACTGGCAAATAACTGTCTAAAGATGCTGATCTTTGAAAAACAAAATATATGAGCAAGCTGAATATCTAGGGAAAAAAATGCAGTGAGGTACCTCTTATCACTAAGCACAAAATCAGGTGTGCAAAATAACTACAAGTATTTCTGAAGATCTTTTTTACAAATAAATCCAAGGTTCATAACTGTATGTATTTCCTGCCCTATATCACTAGTAATTTTTTTTCATACATAAAAAGTCATTCCATTCACTGTATTTCAGTAAACAATAAAGAAATGTCACCTGAGACTTAAAATAAAAAGGATCCTTGTATAGGAAAAAAGTTATCCTGGGGCTGCTGAGAGCTGCAGAGATGACATGTAGAATATGCACCATAAAACTGTTCCTTGAAATTCATCCATATATTATAGTGTAAATATATACACACAGAGCTTCATGTGCAATGTAGTTCAACTCTAGGGCCCACAAAAAAAGCATGGCAAAATTGAACAACAAGCAATTTCACTTACATTAATAGTTGACATGGAAGCCTGGGTTGGTAGTGTGAACGTGTTTCTTTATGGGTGTAACTGGTGTCCATTGAAGACAAAGTCATAATCCAGGTCTGAATTCTGAGCTTTGAGTACACCTGAGTTATCATATTGCTCCCACTGCCACTGCCCATGTCTGCCACTGATGTGAGCTATGTAGGAAGCACCATTTGGTGTTGAAGAGGAGCTCCAACCCAGCCCAAAACGCTGGAAGCATCAGATTGGACACTATTGGTGAAGCATGTTGCTCCTGCCCCTAAAGAGAGCTTGTGGATAATCATGCTTGCTGTTGTGGCTGCTGGGGGGGACTTGCTCCAAATACACAAAACTCCTGGGTTGGAAGATGGGCAGAATCAAGGTGAAAGGCTGTGGTATGGCAGCATAGTGAACATGTGGCTTGGTCGGGACAGCTTGCTGTCCTTTTGAAACCTGGAACCTCAATAAGTGTGGCAGTTGTCAGATACCTCATGCAGTTATTAGCCCAATACTAAGCATCTGTGAGTTTTTAGGACCATTTATTTCTGGAAGTATAGGAAGATGTCATTGATGTAAATGAGTTTGACCAGGGGCTGATTCTTGGCCCTGAGCTACCAGCTCAGCTGTCTCCTCCAGCACAGTTAGAATATTTAAGCAGCCAAATGTTCCAACCATGAGAGTGTTTATAATGTGCTGTATTTCAACTAGAGAAAGTTTTTGTCATGAATAGTAGTGCTTCATAGCTGTTAGCCCTTCCTTTTCCCCCTTGCACACGCAGCCCAGTGTTGTGCTGGCGTCTCTGCTGTTTGTCAGGGCACTTCTTCTCAGACCTTTATGCTGAAGTCTGTTTATTTTTAGTGAGATGTTTACCTCTGC